AATAGATCATGGAAGTAAAAACGAACAAAGCGCCATGTCCCACTGCACCACAAGGCATTCTAACAGTGAGTCCACCCAATCCTCTCCCATATTCTCCATCTCTGTATCTCCACTTCGCTGCCTCATTGACCAATTGATCAAAAGCCGGATATACGTAGTCAGCGAACTGGATTTCTGCAACAGCCTTCATACCTTCCGCAGCTGCTCCAATCGCGAATCCTATTATGCCTTGTTCGCACAATGGCGTATTGAAAACTCGTTCTGATCCATATTGCTCTGCAAGTCCCGTACTGCAACGAAATACTCCTCCAAATCCTACGTCTTCACCAAAAACCATAGTAGTTTCATCTTTGGATAATGCGAGTGATAATGCATCGTTAATCGATTGGAATAGGTTCATTCGTTTCGTGGCACCGTTTCGTATTTCCGGTGAAAGCTCTGGGTTCTGCAATGCACTAGATGAAGTATGGCTTAAGATAGCAGTTGATCCATAATCAATTGGCTTATTTAGTTTTGCTTGCGGAGGATGTGTGGAATATGATCTTGGGAATCTCGAATTGTGGACAACACATAAGGGTTTTAATGGTTTGACCAAGGAAGTCGATAATCTGGAAGTTATTCGCATGATGGATAGGATTTATGATCACAAGTACGACGTTCTACGACGTTGGATGAAATGAATGTATTGTATTAAAAAAATTCCATGATAGCGATGAAACGACATTGTTGATGTACAGTTACAAAACGCGGAGAAATCTGGGGTAGCCGTTTGTAGCCACATCTAAGCGTTTAATCGATAAACCGATAAACCGACAGATCTCGTAGCACGTGTTTAGTGACGGGATCTAAGCGCCAAGCTATTATAGAACAGCCCCCAAATTTATGCGGATGAGGATGTTGCTGTGGAAACAAGACAATAATCCTGGAAATTCGATGCGCATACGTATGTTGAGCATACAGATTTTTCTGATGCATGATCAGCACGAGCACGATTCGTTGTACATATAAACCATGTCGATTCTATAATTTATCTATTTTGGCAAATCTGTTTCACCCATAATCTGCGAAAGCTGGAGGAGGAGAGAATGGCTGGGGACGCGACTGAACGACCACATAGAAAGAGTACGTTGCACGAAAAACGACGAGCAGAACGACGAACGAGGGCTATTGTCGCAGAATCAGAGGCGGCTTCTGAACCAACTGGATCGCAAACTTTATCAATTGATTCTCTGGCAAGATTAAAGGATTCCCTTGAACAAGAGAAGAGGAGGGAGGAGAGGAGGAAATCAAGATCGCGACCACCAGTGAAGGAAGACCATGGACGATCAAGGGAACGAGGTTCGCCCAGTAAAGATAGAAGACGAAAAGAGCGCGGTTATGCGACTGAGGATTCTAGTTCGCCGATTAAAAACAGAAGGAGAGAACGAGATTATGATGAGATTCCTGGATCACCAAGTAGAGAAAGAAGGAGACGAAACGAATATACCGATGATGAATCCGGTTCGCCAAGAAAAGACAGAAGGAGACAAGAAAGGGGATATACCGATGATGAATCTGGATACCCTGGTAAAGATAAGAAAGTTAGAGAGTATTCCGATGAGACAGCGGCACAAACAGCTTTACGACTTCAAAAGCAGAGAAGAAAGCCAAACGGCATCCCCGAATCGAAACCAAAGCCGAAGCCGAAGTCAAATGCGCCGCGTAAAGAAGAACGGAGTTTGAAAATACCAAACACATATACAGACGACGAGACTGTCTATGAGAAACCTTGGAAAGAGCCAAAAGGAAAGAAACGGAGAGTTGTCAGTGGAGCACTTCTGGAAGAAGGTGAAGGGGAGTTGAAGCAACGAAGAATGTTTAGTGGCGCAGAATTGAAAAATGATCTGAGACATCTGAAAGGGTTGAGAGGTGGATATGCGCCTACTGAATCAAGCTATCCAGAGAAGTACGTCGAAAGTGACGAAGACTTCAGAAAAAGGCGGAAACGTATCTGTGAGTTCTCAGACTCAAGGTCGAAGGAGTCAATTTTGAGAGCTGATAATGTATTTAGGGATGGGAATTGGCATTGGCATAGTAATTTTGATAATTATAATAGCAATTGCAGTGAGCACCAGCAAAAAGCACACTTCAAGTTCTTCCTCGTCTACAGCCCCCGCAACAGAAAGTGGAACTCCTTCAAATTCAAATCTTGATGGGATGTCAGAAAGTGATATCCCGGTTGCAGCCCAAGGAACATATTTGGACCCATTTACATGGTACGATACATTGGATTTCAATGTCACATACACGAATGAGACTGTTGGAGATCTTCCGGTTATGGGTTTGAATATCTCATACAGCGATGATGTAGCACCAAATTCCAAGGCACCAAAGTTATCTGCGGAATGGGGAGCTTATACTTCAAGACCGGCTAGAGGTGTGAATTTAGGTGGCTGGCTTTCTATCGAACCTTTCATCACTCCGTCTCTTTTCAATTCATATTCATCAGCAGATGGAATCATTGATGAGTGGACATTGACTACTAAATTGGGTCCCACTGCTGCCGCATCTACCCTTGAGAAACACTATGCAACCTTCGTTTCCGAACAAACATTTGCCGACATTGCCGCTGCTGGACTGGACCACGTTCGCATTCCATACTCGTACTGGGCTGTGATAACCTACGATGATGACCCCTATGTTTTCCGCACCTCATGGCGTTATCTTCTTCGTGGTATAGAATGGGCTCGAAAATATGGTCTCCGTATTAACCTGGATCTTCATGCGCTCCCAGGTTCTCAAAATGGTTGGAATCACTCCGGCCGTCAAGGAGCTATTGGTTGGTTGAATGGAACTGATGGCGACCTAAATGCTCAACGCAGTATCGAAATCCACGATAGGCTCTCTAAATTCTTCGCTCAAGACCGTTATAAGAACATTATTAGTTTCTATGGCCTCGCTAATGAACCTAGAATGACATCTCTTGACGTCAATGATGTCCTAAACTGGACATCTACCGTCACTGATATGGTCGTGAAGAATGGTATCTCCGCGTATGTCGTTATTGGAGATGGATTCCGGGGACTCGAGAATTGGCAGGGCGATTTGACAGGTTATGATAATCTAATCTTAGATGTTCATCAATATGTCATTTTCAACAGCGGACAGATTCTGTATAACCATACAGAGAAAGTAAATTATGCTTGTAGTGGTTGGACTCAACAAACGGAGATATCTACGAACACGAGTACAGGATTTGGGCCCACGATGGTTGCTGAATGGTCTCAAGCCGATACGGATTGTGCGACCTATCTCACAAATGTCAATCAAGGAAATAGATGGGAAGGAACATATAATACTGGAGACTCATCGACACAACAAACGACGCCAGATTGTCCAACACAGGACAACACATGTAGTTGTACCAGTGCGAATGCAGATCCAAGTACTTATAGTGATACATATAAGAGCTTTTTGAAAATGTTTGCCGAAGCGCAGATGTATAGTTTCGAGCTAGGCTGGGGCTGGTTTTATTGGACTTGGACTACGGAGACTAGTGAGGGTGGTGGCACACAATGGAGTAAGTTTCTAACTCCTCGCATCTGAAGGATTCTTCTTTCCCACACCTACGATTCCGTTGGCGGAAAATGGAATGAAAGGGGCCATCAGGAACCAAAGCACAGAAAATATCACTGGATGATTGCTAACAGATTGATCGAATAGGCTACCAAAGAGGATTAGCAGCCGGCATCCTGCCAAAGCTAGCATACGATCCAGACTTCAAATGTTCATCAACAGTCCCGAGCTTCAGCGCATTGCCTGAATACTATTAAGCAATATCTGTCAGCTACTCGGCCAAGTTGGTGAGGGTTGTAAGTAGATATATATAAAAATTGAATGCACAGCGCGAGCAATTGGTGTAATTCTACGACGGTATGAATGACGTACGCATATAGAGGGATTTGACCACATTTTTGAAACTTGGCGGCATGATTCCAGGAGTATGGAGAGAATTAATTGCATTTGTTTATGAACATGGCAATATAAGCTGGAGCTGTGGAACTAATGGGCGGAAGCTGTGTTTTGGAGGAATGTTATAGAGCCTGCGAGAAAATCGTTGTGCCAAGTTTTTACGGAAAAGTTGCTGTATGGCGTAATGGGGGTTTTCGTACACCAGGCTAATCATCAAATTATATGGTTGTATACGAGGATTTGTATGGTAGTATAGAATGAAAGTGATTGAATATTGTGAATTGGGACAATGATATAAATTGGGATAACCATAGGGCTTTGAAGGGGAGGTGAAGGTCACAACATGTTTCCCTTTGGTATCTGCACTTCCACTCCCACTCCCAGGCCTCCAGGACAACGTGTGCAATGCGCACCCCCAACCTGGTAGATTGTGTGGGTTTAGCTGGATTCTGTTCCAATTCTTAGCAGCTGGGCATGATTTGATCTTTCCCCCAAGGTATATGTGTTCACAAGTTTTAAAGTTTGGAATTGTTCTAGTTAGTCAAGTACTAAGAGTCTTAGCCTCAGAATATATCCATTTTCCCTGCGATCTAACCCCAACTATCACATATCTTTCACCCAGAGGAATTAGCACTTCTAGAAAAGTAGTTTTTTGTAGATCACTTCCTGTTATTTATTTTGTAGAGCAAGAAATCTATCGCGAGGTTTCCAATCAAGATCAAGTGAAGCTACTCGTGACCCATTTGTTTGCTCCCTAAAGCACTACGGTGGTTTAGATGATTTTAAGCATCAAACTATGACAGGCATCATCATTCAAGTGAGTAGATCAAGGCATTATATTGGATCGGTTACCAAACTTCTTGGCCTTAGTCATCTGCCTAACACACTCACCTCATAAATCAAGACAAGCCAAGATTCTTCGGGTTCAGTCATTCCTAGGACGAGATTCTTGGCCAAAAGCTAAACTCAACCTCCTTAGTATATATATGTTCGTTCCCCAGTAATCAGAAAGATTTTAACACACAACTTCCATTGGAAAACAACACACAATGGCGCTCCTCATTACCCCCACTTCTGCGACGGCAACAATCACTGTGACTAAGACCCTATATGACATCGTTTCATTAACTACCTTAAGCACCGTCATCAGCCAAAGTCTCACTGCAAATATCGCTAATGCTACACCAACCTTTCCAATCAACGGCACAACATCCACATTTTCACCTGTGAGTATAGATGATTCAATAATTTCATTATGTTGACTGACTAACCCTATTGCCCAAATTCCCTCTGCTTTTGTATCTCATGCCTATAATCCTTTTGCTTCCCCAAAGAGTATTGACTCCTCATTCTGCTACTTGTCTCGCGAAATTTATGCTTAGTAGGCAATACTAATACCCTGATCTCGCAATTTGTCTCTCTCACAAACAACTCATCGAACATAACCACATCAACAACCAAAAAAACACACCATGGGTCGAATTCTTGGTGGATGCCTTTCTTAGCTGTGCCGGTAGTATTATTTTTGGTTATTATCTGCGTTACGATTCTCCTTGTGTTGGAAAGTCCACGGGCCAAGTCCAGAAGAGCTGAGTATGAGAAGGCATACAAGGAAAGGGAACTAAGATACGCGGAGTTGAAAGAAAAGTTGAAAAAATTAGATGAAAAGGAAGCTGCGTACGATAAAGAGGTCAAAGACCGCGATCAGAAATTGGTCGATTTCTCCCGTATCCTTCGTTTTCGAAGCAGAGCTAGGAACCATTTTTTGAAAAAGATGAGGTACACATTAGCGATGATTATTGTCGGGATATCGATCATGTGATCTAAAGAGGGCACCGTATTGCACTAGCGTATGCACTAGCGCTAGCACTTCTACTATATTAATTACTAGCTTCCCATAGATAACAATGATCAAGAACGAATACAACCATAATAGACTAAAGTACTTTACACTTATCAACCAAGTTGATACCAACAATTATGCTCGATTCGAAGCTACAGATGGACAGAAATAACTTACGGATTTAGAGATACTCAAGATATTAATTCTCGAATTTGAAGAGAAGTATGCTACAGAAGTAGAATGGTCGGTAAAGCATCCACTGGAGTCTAAAAAACTTGAAATGGAATATGAAAATATTATTGAATCGCATTCTAAGGGTAGAAAAACGAATGCGAGTGGAGAGGAATGACCCTGTAGCGGATGAAAGGGACAGGGTAGAGATGTGTGAGAAGTTTGGATGGGACCTGACCGATCCCTACTACAAACTACCCTAGACCCAGGAGCTGGCGACTGTCAATGAAAGAAGAGTGCGGGAGTTCATTGATAGAAAATCGGTGCTGGAACGAGAACGTGGTCCCCCATAGTCCAAGATGCGATCCAACAATCAAAAAATTTCTGTACACGAAGAATATTTACACTATAAGACAGATTCAACCTCCTAGATTAATGGAAAGCTTTGAATTGGGCCAATAACAAATAGTCTTTGAGTGATGGACTGCAATTTGAAAAACGACGCAAGAAAAATCGGTATCGCCATCCTATGGTATGCATGAGCAAGCAAGATGGATCTTTAGCTTGCTTCGGGTCTTCCAGGACATCAACTATTGCTCCATCTATGGTTTATCGGGCATAGGTGCTCAGGACTGCCAATAACAGAGTCCGAGATAATAGTGACAATGAATAAGAGGGTTGTTAGGATTCGATTATATTATATGATTGACGGGTTATCAGATTTCGAAACAATATAGGATTATCATAGATGTAAGATCTTACAAATATTACAGTTGAGCCGAATCCATATTGAAAGTACTGTATTTGACTTCCATTGGTACCATCCTACCCCGTTTGTCCACTCTTCAGTTCCGTGTAAATACCCTTTCATCAAATACTATCAACACACAAACAATCCAAATTGCCTCGAAACTCATCACAGATAGAAAAGGGTCTCCGAAGTTGTAAGTGTCCTTATAGTTAAGAATGCCAGAATTAAACGCTAGAATAATGATCTTGTCGTGCCAGGCCACCTTACGCATTAGTTCAGTCTTCTTCTCAAATGTTAGTACGTTGCCATGGAGCCTATACTAGTACATTGTCCTGTATCATAGTTATTCTTTCCAGGAGTACTGCTGTGAGATGTCAGTTCATTTTTGGCCCTTGATGGCAAAGTGAAAAACGAAATGTCGTGGTGAATTTAAAGATCGAAAGGATTATATGTTCTTGGAATAGAATAAGTTGATTGGTATTAGGAATGTTATATTACCACCAAACTATTTGATGTGAGCTTCAATGTCAGCATATCTCTCAATTTCACTCGAAAACCTGCTCTTCAGAATCCGGAATCAACATGCCATCAAGCCGCTAGGAAAGATATCTTTTCCATTGATACAATTTCACCTCTATAACCAGTTCCACAAATATAAGACCTCAACCGGATCGTGAAGAGGGCCACTTTGTGGTAATAATCTATCATCGGTATCTCTATTTCCCTACCGCGGAATCATCAACAGAAATTCAGACATCGAAAATCTTCCACGGAAAGCGTTATGAATCACAGCGCTTTCAACAGTTGGAGGAATTTTGAAGTTCATCATTATTTCTTTCCACAGTGATAATAGATTTCTTCGTCGCATAAAAAGTCACAAACGCATTATAGAAGGAGTAAGCAGCGCAAAATCCAGGTCGTTCGTGTGTGCATGCTTGCAGTTGTTGGTCCGGTGTTCCTCTCAAGTCCCCTCCCCTACCCAGGCCATAAGTATTGAGCCGATGTTGTACGAGGCCTGGTGATTTCTCCCTTAGTACCCAATGCTTTTAGCCTATCAAGTTTGTTGAGAAACCTGGTCTTATTCTCATTCCCTCGTGATTGAATCCCGAGTCTTTTGTTAATCCCTGTTGTCGAGTCCCAGGTCTCTTTAGCTCCCTCGTTGAGTCCCAAAATCTCTCCCTGGCGGTTGAATCCGTAATCTCCTATCCCTCGTCTTCGTATCACAAATCACTTATTCATTCCTTCGTTGTCGAATCCCAAGTCTCTTTAATCCCTCGTGGTTGAGTTCCAAGTCTCATATCCCTCGTTGTCGTATCCCAAGTTCCTTATTAGTTCGCTCGCGATCGAATCCCGAATTGTCTTCAATTCCCTCGTGGTTGAATCCCAAATTCTCTCCCCGGTTGCCCCATGGTAGAATCCCAAGTCTCTCCCCTTGTTGTCATATCCCGAGTCTCATCTCCGTATCGATCGTATCCCAGGCTCTTGTGTTGATCCCTCGTTGTCGAGTCCCAATTTTCAATCCTTTTTTGATAATGACCTAAGTTCCTAAGTTGATCCCTCGTGTTTGAATCCCAAGTCTCTCTGCCAAGTCACACTCTTTCAATACCGATTATCGTATCCCTCGTGAAATATCCCAAGTCCATTTCCCTCGTGGTTGAATCCCAAAGTCTCTTCCTTTTCTTTGTCGTATCCCTGGTCCCATTTGATCCTAGACTATTAAACGACACAAGTTATGAATTTATGAAAGAATACATACTCAATTCCGATTCCTATTACTGTTATTAATTCTTCCAATCCTGTGCTTCAATTGATCAAATCGATTTTGAACAATTCCTTGGCCGCTCCGGCTGTCCTGGATGTCGATCTCAAATTTTTTGTTTTGAAAGTGAGATAATATTCATTGCCCGTGTCCGATATCCCAAGGCGTTGTTTCGTCTAGGATTGTGGAATAGAATGTGGGCGGTTCAAAAAGTCGAGTTTTCGACCTATCCATCTCAAGCCAAAAATCAGTATACAAATTTCAACGTTATGGATGACCGTCCAAGTGAAATCCAAGTAAGCACACAAAGCTGTTGATCCAGTATTCGATTTTTCGTTCCCTCCCTTCCACAAAGTCCATGTGATGTTTCCTCTAGATTCCAGCTCGAAGGCGCACGCATCCTATTTCAAGCCAATATTTTTATTTCGAGTCCGTAGTAATTTTACCATGTAGAGTCCGTTAGACTAAAAACAGAGCGTAAATATGAAGCCGAATCCAGCGTTGGCGCGTTGTTGGTTGATGATTATAATCGAAAAGTTGTTGATTGAATCGGGTTGTAAAGTTGAAGGTTAATTTTTGAAAGCTTCAATATTCGCAAAGGTAATTGTGTGCGCCAGCAATACCCGAATGTCACGTGTAGTATTAAGGTAATTATTCTACGGGGGTCAAGTCACCTTCAAGTTGTTACAAGAGAGGAAAATTCCTTTAAATGTTGATTTTGTATTTCAGGAAATCCAGGACTCTGAACCGACCAAAAGGGTCGCGTAGTTAAGGGCACTTGTTCACTCACTTTTGAAACGATAAAGATACGGTTGGGGAGCGTCACATTGGGAGATGACAAGATAGGCGCCTTGAGACAGCTTCCCATCCTTTTGAACCTATGCGCCTCTGGGAGTGAGATCAACGATTTAATTCTGTTGATTTATTCAAAGATATGTAAATTAGGAGCAAGCCTCGGGCTACTGTTTTTGTGTCTCTGAGTAAAAACCAGTATGGTTTCGATTTACTAGATTTAAAGACATGTCGAAACCCCGAAGATGCAAAAGCCTCTTTTGTTCCAGTCAAAACACAACACAATCAAGAGTCCCAAAATTTGCGTTCAACGAGAGCCAACCATTTCAAAAGGCGCTAAGAAAAAGATGAAATGTCAGATATGTAACAAAACTTTTCAACTTGTGGTCTAGGCTTGGCCATGGGCACTAGACTGGCTTTCGAGGGCCCACCTACACATGGTTATGTGCTACCTCTGGGTAGAACGCGGGATTTAGTATGTAGGGCTGACAAGGAAGAACTTTTCCAATCGTCAGACTTGCAACAAAAGCTTTATATCAGATTTACCATAGCTTTGCGCTCGATGATCTACTGGCTAAAATTGTACTTGATTTTTTTTAGATATGCAACAAAACTCTTTGAAATTGTGGCCTAAGCTTTACGCTCGATGATCCAGTGCCTCTGAAATTCACTACCAAGGAGATCTAATATTAGTAGCGGGTAGATATTTCGGGAAGCACAGTGGGTGCATGGATTGACGGGACACTTCCCAACTTTCGAAAGTTTTAACAAATTTGTTCTTCAATGATTTGATTGTTTCATCTCTACTGAACAATTGTAGGAATTCTTAACATATAGAACTTGGTATATCAAGAGATATTCAAAAGTCCATTCTTGCAGTTTCCCGTCTGTACACCCACTGGTGGTGCCAGACATTGGATTTATCGTAATATGCGAGCGATATCAATGAAAAATAATTCAACAGAAATACAAATTTAGGGTAATCAGGCAAGAAAATGCGCTCACGAGGCTGGTGGTTCTTTCCCCTTGAAATACAGATCATCAATCTTTGCGCGCGCGCGGTTATTGGTCACCTAATCTTGCTTACGTCAATTTCGATGTCTTTCAGATATGCAAAAAAACAAATTGGTCAAAGCATGCTTGAATACAACCCCACATGGAGAAACTTGAAAATATATCTAGAGTTTTGCGCTCGCCATGCTATTGGCTCCTTGAGATTGCTTACGTCAATTTCGATGTCCTTCAAATATGCAACAAATCGCCCAGAGTTGAACTTTCCACGTGGCCCTGATAGTGAATACAACAATCTGAGGGGAAGCCGGCACATGTTGCATATCTGAACTACCACGATGTTAGAAATATTCCTCAAAATTATTCTTCCAATGAGTGAGCAGAGGCGCGCCAATGGTTAAAAAAGGCAAAGCTTATACACCACTTGTTTCTAAAACCGTTTCCAATAGTATGTTGTATGAAAGTGAATCCACGTGTCGGGAGTTGCGGAACTCCACAACGGCACTTGAGATATGATCAGATCTCGCATATTCCGAAGAATTGACTTGTCCAATGGACTGACGAGCGCAAAGCTCTGTTCACCTTCCTCTCTCTTGCGCTCAACGAGAGCCAACCATTTCATAGACGCTAACAAAAAAGATGAAACGTCAAATATGCAACAAAGTTACTCAAAATTCTCGAGAGATCCAATAGCTTGACGAGCGCAAAGCTTTGGTAACATTCCCTCCCTTCTTTTTCTTTAAACTCAATGAGAGCCAACCATTCTCAGAGACGCTAAAAAAACGGTCAAACTTTCAGATATGCAACAAAAGTGTTCAAGAGTTGTATGTGCCCAATAGCTTGACGAGCGCAAAACTCAGGTCACTTTTTTTCCTTTGCGCTCAACGAGAGCCAACCATTTCAAATGGAGCTAACAAAAAGTTCAAACTTTCAGATATGCAACAAAAGATTTGAGCTGTATTTCCACGCCTGAGCCACGCGCGGGCCATGCCGGTAGGGCTGACAGCAATAGTGAATAACCTTGAGGATGTAATGTTGCATATCTGAATTTCTGACCCTTGCTCAATGTCAGAATGGCTGGTTTCGTCGGGGCGCAAGCTGATCCTGGCTTTTGCAACTGGCTTTCAAGTGGCCAGGCACAAAGTATTCGTCTCAAATGTTGAAGGCGAGATAAAAGCGCAGAAGCGAACACAGGACGACATGGTATAAACATACAAACCGAAAACTTGAAGGATTATCGCAAAGCTTGTGACAATTTCGCTCTGGGGAATGGCCACGAATCAAAAAAATTGTTAGACAAGAAGTTTGAGTCCTTCAATTGCAACAATCCTTTGAAAATAGGTTTCAAAGAATCTTCATGGTTTTAGTTCAAGAGGAGATTACGTGATTCAACTGGCATTGGTATTGCACTTGCAACGACCTACATCCCTTATCGGAGACAAACTTGCGCTGTGAGACGGCCTCGCTACTACACATTGCATGTACAAATAGAAGAGAGATGTATCTAGCTACAACTTTCACAGAAAGAGTCACTAGTAACGTGTCCATTTCGTCTAGTACACTCCGTGAAAGTTCTAAATCTGATCGTGCAATGGGCTGAAGACCTTCCCCGAGAAGAAAAATCATGGGCAGGTTTTGCTTGAAACCAATCCAAGAGACATTTTTTCCGGAAAAATATCATCATATCAATAGGCTCAGTATTTAGTCAACAGACCTTCCAGAATTACCTTTCTGGGCATCATTTCATGTACAATGCAGATTTCTTTGGAACGCATGTCGTTGAATTTGACGTTTGAAATTAGCGAGTGTGATTACATAAATGCTGACTCACAACTCATTCTAGTGTTCCACCACTACATTGATGACCGAGCAAACGAGAAGTTTATTTTCAAGAATTTTTCAACTCTCAGCATTAATTATAATCTATTGAAGTCACATCTGAGGATTGATAAGTAAAAAGATGCCTGGGAATAAATATTCATAAAATCAATGTTTGCCACCATTATGACAATCATCACAATTATTTCTGTTGAATTCATTGTTCAATTATTTGACATTGAAATCCATTTTTTCATTGTTCAACCTGTAATGAAACTTTACATTGCACTTCAAGTATTCAAATTAATATCTCAAGAGATATATCTGAATTGTTAGCCTCCCACACACAATCTCATTGTTCGTGTTTCTCTGGATCGATCCTGCCATCTGATATCATCATCCAACGCGCCCTTTGAGGCATTGAAAGTTTCAAGAACTCCGCCTGCAAAATGTCTTCCATCGAGTCAAGACCAAGGGTTACAGCCAATTTCAACATCCTTCCTCCGCAACTTGCCAAATCGATTCCCGAAGCCAAAAGTATCCCCACCATAACCGTATCCTCCCTTGATATCGCCCATTTTAGCGCACTTTTGGCCGTTATTACATCGTCTATACCGGCCCCACGATCGAAGAGCTTGTGAACGAGTAGCATGTTTCTTTTCTGGGCTTCAATGGATATAGATTTATTTCCTAGCTATTCCGATTGCTGTCCGTCTAAGCGAGAGAAGTTTCTATCGAAGCCGTATTCAAGTAGAAGATCAATCATGTCTCGATGCTTTGCTCCGTCGGCACCCCGAACCCCACGGAAAAACGTTCCTGTTGTATCGAAGATGTACTTTACTATCTCGAAATTTCCTAAACGAATATGCAACACTAGGAGACTCTTGCTCGGTTGCTCTACAGGTCTTGGAAAGAATCCTTCAATGTGTTTGTATATTTCAAGATTCCCTGTGGACCTTTGCGCTTTCCAAAGAGAAAACGAAGCGGATGATTCTAGGGGGATAAATGACCCGTCTATGAAGTTTGTATCATTGATAGTTGACCACGATGGCGGATACAAAGCAGTTCGTACCATCTCTATGTCTCCGCTCATTGCCGCCGTTATAATCGAGCTGAAGCGTTCAGCTTCTGAATCGTGACTTGATTGGGTTTCAATCACCATCTTTTGCAAATATTCTAGTAGATCTTTATTTCCTGCCAATGCAGCCAATGCCATAGGTGGAAGGAAGAGATCGCGCATAGTCCGTGGTGGGTACCCTTCTTGGAGTAAGCGTTTTACTACAGGGATGATATTGAGATAAGTTGCGGCACATAAAAGATCCAACTTGAAGTTTAAATCAATCAAATTGGAACTGGCACGATGTGTTGCGTCGATTAATATCGGCCAGCAAAGTCTTTCGATGGTGGTTCTCACGTCGTTGCCCGTTTCCGCACAGAGAGTTTCGACAAGTCTGCGGATGTGGCGAAAATGGGGTGGGCAGGAATCGGAGTTATATTGGACTCTGTATACAAGGTAGGAGTGCCAAAATGTGTTCGCCCATTTATTTCCATCTATTTCCCAGAGGCATAAGAGTCTGTTGGTCTTGTAATCGTCTAGAAGGTGAGATCTAAATAGCGCAAATTGGACGTCATGATAAAACCGCTCTGCACGACAGTGTCAGGGATAGAATTTTTGAATCCGAGTACAAGATCAAACTTACTGCATACAAGTCTTAATATGATAGATCTATGGATCCCGCGAGTAAGGACGGCTTCGAGTAAAATCTGATGGACCAACTCGGGTGCTAAATCGAGGAACTGCATCCTCTGTGAAATGGGATTGCAAATTGTCGTTGCAGACCGACGTAAGTTGAAGAAGCTGTATCAATGTAGAAGAATGGTGGTGTCGAAAGGAGGTTGATTATGGGAGAAAGTTGAAGCTGACTCCAGGTGGTTGCGTTTAAGAAACCAGGTGGAAAGCGTAATAGTCCGCTAGGTAGCTTGCCCAATTTCTTCATGTAACAAGAATTCAATAGAGCGGAGTACCCAAAACAGCCTAGGTACTGTGAGTGAATATCTAAATCAAACATAATCTTTGACTTTTGAGGTGTTGTAAACGCTTCAGTGAGTATATTGACACATCTCTCAAAATTTCAGGGCGAGCTAGCTCGCCAGTTTTTTAGAGCGTCTATTATTTCTATTCTTTTTACTATTTTTATTTTTATTATTGTTTTAATAGAAATAATAGAAATGATTCTTTCTAGATTTTAATTTAGATAATTTAAACAATTTAGATAATTTAGATAATTTAAACAATTTAGATAATTTAGATTATTTAAATGATTCAGGTGATTTAGATTATTTGAATGATCAAGGTGATTTAGATAATTTAGATTATTCATTGAAAAACAATAAAAACAATAAAAAGAATAAAAAGAATAATAAGTTTTTAGTAAGTTACTAATAACTCTTTAATATTAAAGAATTGAAGATAAACATTATTCTTTGTTTTTTCAATTCTTTTATTATTCAATTCTTTATATAATTGAATTCATAATAAAAGATATTATATAACTATATACAAATCTAATCATATACAAATTGAATTCCTAGGTATAGAAAATATAATCTATATTACACTATACAAAAATTCCGTAAAATCCGATGCACAAGTTTCTTTCGCTACGCCCTTAAATATTGAAAGTTACGTCTTGCGCGGCTTTTCATTAGTCCATTTCTGTAAGGGACATTGAGCTTCTGGACCTCTCTCTGCAGGCTTGCATAAAGGACGAATCTAAGTTCCTGCAATTTAATCTTATGTCTGCTTCAAGTTTTTGAACAAAGTCTTTGTAGAGTCATGATCCACTTCCTAATCATCGATGGCTCCAATTTACCACCTTTCATTCTAGACATTTCATCTACAGTCCACTCCTTGCTTCTCCAATATTTTCTCATAGTCTCAGTCAGCAACTTTCTGGAGGTGATTGTTCGTCCTTGGTGATTGAGGGTTGTATTCGCATCTGCCCCATTGTCTAGCATGAGTTTGACAATTGCCAAATGGTTTGAGACCAAAGATTTCTCCTCCTCGGAAAATTGCTGATTTTCACTTTCTTCCGTGTCCACCGGCGGTAGGATTGCGCAAACATCACGGACGGCCATCTCAAAACAAAGAGCTGGAAAGTCTTTTAGCTTTTTGTTAGGCTGCGCTCCATGTTCCAACAGTAATCCTATCATGCGATTACTAGGAGGAAATCGATCTCGCCGATAATCCGAGTTTTCCATCTGCTCCATGCCATGCACATAGTATTCATCTGTTCCCGCAAGCGCATATGCTAACAAGTTGTGAGCAACAATTCCTTTCGTTTCCGAGGCGAGTCTCTCTAAAATAACTCTGACGTATGCACAAAGATTCCATTTGGTTGCGATGTGTAGAAAAGAAGAGAACTTCGCCGGTGCCCAAATGATGCTTTTGGACCTCGCACTGTGCGTCAATGTCGCAAATGTATCCAATGGTTCAACGTAAGCATTTGATCCCGCAATTTCAGCATCGTGGGCGTAGTTGAGGACTGTTGCCACAAATAAAGGAAGGCCCGAAGGCTGGGTTAAAATGTTTTTCTGAGGTTCGGAGATCTGAAGTTCTTTTATGTATGAGCACATAAGGGCAGTGTGGGGCTCAAAGCCTCTTCCATTGCTATGTTTCATGAATTTTTGATGTATATCTGAACGTTCTGAATATTCTCGGACGCTGCGATGCAAATAAGTGACGCGATATCCAAGATATTCAAATCCTGGGGAGTATTTCGGTCCGGTCTCGAGCAATCCTGCACATCTCACTTTTAGATGATCACTAATCTCTTTGTTTCTCAGCTCCAGGTCCTGAAGTTGAATTTGATATCTGCGAAACGACTGGTGCCGTAATCAAGAGCAAAGGACAGAATCAGTGTGTCCAATGATTTAACGCTCCTCTGATGTACATTTGCCGCTCGGACAATGAGAAAAATTGATGCAGCTTTCTTACTATAGAAGGGCTCAATCTTTCCAAGCATCGAGGAGAAAAGTTCCTCTAGATCTTGCGGCAATATTTACATACGTTCCTGCAAATCTTGCAGGCTATCTCTATTGTCGAGACCTCTTACAATCTCCTGTAATACAAGCTTAACCCACAAGCTTACCCCATCTGCTCGCGATACAATATTTTTGATGAGATTTAATGCTTGAACAGGCTGTTCTACGCATAAGCGTTGATAGTTAACATTCTCTTGGAGACTCGACTTGACATAATGGTTAATATCGATACGTGTTAGATCTTGCAGCCGAAGTGATGGTCCAGATCCAAAAGCATCATCGAATCCAAGTAAAGGACGACTGGAGACGCATATTTTTAGCCACGGTACCTGAGCGAGCATACTAAAGTATTTGGTTATAGCTGAAGGTTCCCCTTCATATTCGTCAAGACCGTCAACGAACAAACAAAGTTTGAAGTGCTGTACGCTTTGGCTTACGAGGCTCCGCATTGCGGCCTGCAATTCGGTTAAACTCCAGTACTCCATTTCCATCGGATGAAACTTTTGGTGTACTTCAGAGAACGGTCTAACCGAATCAGTGTAGATTTTGGCCCATCTTTGGGGAAAACAGACAGGAATAAGATCAGGAAGATGTCCCAGAATTTGGGAAAGAAGAGCTCGAAGAAGACCACTTAGAGACCTCTGTACAAGAGTCCCACTCTTCCAAAAATAAAACTTGGCCATAACAATGGGTAAAGGAGCAGACCATTTTTCTAAAAGTACCTTCGTTTTACTGTGATCATATATGAATCTCATCAGTGTTGACTTGCCCGAAGCAGCTTTTCCATTGATCCAATAAATACTGGACCCATGTTCTAACCAATGGACAAAACTAGGCCACCGCGTAGATTCATGGCTATCATTGAATAACCACTCAAATATTCCTCGATATACATCCGCGATAGTTTCTTCTCGTTCTTTCAATGCTGGGAACTTTAAATTTTGGACAAGGTATTGAGCAATCTGCAAGCGGAGTGCTTTTTCGTGCCACTCATGGTTGTGCAGAACCTGATTCTGAGATGTTTGTTCTTCGGCGAGTATCAAACTTTGGCTCCTAATACATAGGCAAATGAGCGAATGTTTTAAACGACTCGCGGGTCGAGAGGCTTTAGTTGACAGACAACAATCTGGACTGTTGAAAGTATGGCTTGGGATTGAATAATGCGAATTGAAAAAAAAAACACCAAATAAACTCACTGATTTACTTCAATCTTGTCAATCTGCTGCACAATACCTGATGGAAATGTGTGCTTCTCAGCCAGAATTTCAATTCTACCGAGTAACTGAGTAATTGCTATCGTTTGATCTTGGACCCCTTTGCTGACTTCATCCTGATGTGTGAGGAGGGCAGTAATAATAGTCTTCGTACTATATTCGAGGTGATCGAAGCGAACTCCTTGATTTGATGATATCGAATCGAGCTGATCTCTTCTGCTCGTCATTTTCTATTGATAGAGGACTTCATTGAGTTACTTACCGAAGATCCACGACGATATGCATCTGAATAGAATCTCTCAGTAATGCCAGTCGATTCGTTAAAGCCGTCAAGTCCTTCTCAGTCCACACAGACTTCAGCGCTTGCTTAACAGTTTCCCATTTCCTACGCTTGCCAATGGCTGTCAATTTTAAACTGTTTAGCTTATTACTGAGTTCAATGGACAATTCTGATGCATCTCTGCATATGAACATAAACGCGTCATCTGATGGTGTAGAAACGACTCCCATCCCAGATAAGCCCCAGTATGAATCCGAGAGCCTCTTGGACATCTTAGCTAGATCATCCACCACAAGACCCAATTGTTGGTGAACGGCCAAAGCTTCCGCGCCCGATTTGTATAGTTCATTAGTACCAGCCAACACCTTCGAGCTGAAATCCACGAATCGAATAATGGTTCCTGCCAATGACAACGCGTCTAATGGGTTCATCATTGTGATGACGAAGAACAGATATTGAACTAGTGATGAGAATTTTAAAAAGAAGTGGAGGTTCAGCTACAGGTACCACAACATCAATGTCGTAAGAAGGCTGCGGGATTTGACCCCCATGACATGTTCCACGAAAGTCATCATTTCCATCGGCCAAATGAAGCCCCGGCTAATAACGAAAGATACCAAAACGCCCAGGATGGAATTCCATCGTTTTGTTTACAGATATATAGCAAACATAAACTAGGTATCCAGCAATATCATTTTTAATGAGAACCTGTCATGAATCGTTTCTCAAGGACCCTCTTGTCGTTAAGATTTATGAGTCTGTGAGTTTACCTGCCCGCAAGCGTAACACTGCGCTAGTTTCGATTGGGCGAAAATTCTCCGCTAGCGCCCGCTTTACCTCCCCTACCCCCACGTTCGTCGCTCTGTTGCTTTCTACTCTCAAGACTATCGTCAGCCAGCCGACTTGAGAGGTTTTTGGCGAACAGCAAACGTAAAGCAGACTCCTTCGTAAGTATTGACTTCTGCCCAGCAAGATCAAACACTGATAAAGCAAAGAGAAATTTAAGAACACTAAAACACAGAAAATGGCGTCAGTATATAAGATCGCGTTGGTGCAGCTCTGCCCAAAGGTTTGTTGGCATTCCTGTTTTAGATTCTTTGGAAGAGATCTGTCAGTGATGGATCTGTATCACAATGGTGCCATTTAGAAGCAGTTAGAGGCGTCTCCGTCCCTCATTTTCTCACTGTTTGAGCTTAGCCAGTCAAGATAGGTTTCAATGTGGGGGCTCTGGCTTTCGGTCATCATTGCTATATAGTTCGTTTCAGCGATTTCGATACAAAAGAGGGATATTGTTCGACAATACTCGCTTTGCTTCTTTCTTTTCCTTTCATTGATTGCTCTTCGCATGTGATATTCACAACATGCGATATCCACGATTTCCTAACTTCTTGAAAGAACTCGAGCTCATATTTTTCTACTAGCCTCTAGCTATTGATTACAATTATAAAAAAGCAGTAGAATTTATCAGAGAAGCCGCTTCCAATGGCTGCGACCTTGTCGTTCTGCCTGAATATCACCTCACATCATGGGTTCCAGATGAACCTGAATTCCTGCCACTGTGTCACCACGACATCACATCTAAATATCTCTCTGGCTATCAGTCTCTCGCTTCCGAACTCAGAATATCTATCGTGCCAGGAACTATCTGCACTTTACACCCCGAGACTTCTAATCTCCACAACACGGCTCACTTCATTTCCCCTGAGGGCAAAATACTTTCCTCCTATACCAAGAAAAATCTCTGGCATCCTGAACGTCCACATCTAACCTCGTCTACGAATGATCCACATACTGCTTTCGATACTCCTCTTGGGAAAGTCGGTATGCTTATTTGCTGGGATGCCGCATTTCCTGAAGCATTCCGAGAGCTCATCTCTCAAGGCGCGAAACTCATCATCATCCCAACCTTCTGGACTCTCAGCGACTGTACCCCCGCAGGGTTGGCACGAAACTCGCTTTCTGAAGAACTGTTCGTTCAATCTACACTAGTATCTAGAGCCTTTGAAAATACGTGTGGAATTATATTCTGCAACGCTGGAGCACCTGTAGGAAAGGGGAAAGAGAATTCTGGCTTTTTGGGAATCAGCCAGGTCACCGTACCATTCCAAGGAGCTCTAGGAAAAATGGGAAGAGAAGAAGGAATGAATGTGGTAGAACTAGACATGCAAATATTAGAAGACGCGGAAGAAGCTTACAAGGTACGCATGGATATTGGACGAGATGATTGGCATTATGCACATACATTGAGAAGGGGAAATAGCAATGAGGAAAGTAAGTTGTGAGGAACGAGATTCGATTCGGTCGTACCTTTGCTATCAAATCATTTGTTGATATATCAGATCATTTCAATGTCTCAAATCAGCTCATATGGATCTGGGCATTTCATGAATGTTGTGTGAAAGAGAGAAAGACAACCAACGTTCAAATGGGAGGTAGTCTTTCGACCATATAGACGAAACCGAGGAAAATCCAGCAACTCGCTCGACCTGCTGAATGTAGCTTTAATATGTCAATAGTTAGTTACTGATATTATTGATAATTCTTTTTAAACATTGCCCGACCATGATACTGATGTTTGAATTTTAAGTACCGAAAAATTAGATGGAGGTCACAGCTGAAATCGACGAAGCAAACATTTAGCTCCCGCTGAACCATCATGTACTTGATATATCCTCGGTGTGCTTTCAAACGTGAATGATGCCTTCGGATGAGATGTTTGTCGGCGCGGAACATGCAGTTTGATAAATTCCCATCCCCACTTTTAATATACACACTGAGTACACCAGTAACGACCTCATGCTTATTAATCAACATCCAAGTTCTGGTGTTCCTGAATTTACTTGCTTCGGCGTGCTCCAACATTGTAAAGACTCTTGTTCGAGCATAAGTTTATGTACGGGCATTGATTGCCGATTTATTATATATGGCTTGGAACTTGACATTCTCTTGCTTTAACGTACCTTCTATGATCGATCATTAATCCACAAAGCCCTGATAAGGCATCGCGACCAAACCAGGTAGCAACACTTTCTAGGGACATTTTTCTCGGACAATGAGATCACCAAGCACGACGCATATACGCAATCGATATCAACATCCACTGAAATTCCAATCACAAGACCTGACGAACAAAAATGCCTCCAAAAACCAGGGGAAGAGCAAAGGGGAAAGGCAAAGCTGCGAGTCAAAATGCAGTCCCAGATGTATATCGTGATATGCTGGAAGAGGCCATACCGTCCGCAGTCAGCAGTACCCGAAAGACCTTTAAAGAGACGGAGAGTTGGTTTACGAGATGCTGTAGTTACGGCATCAGAAGCAGGGCCTTCGAAACCTTCTGTGGCGGAGTCACATGACGAAGCTGAAGATGATGAAGATGTCGAATTTGAGGATGTCATGACGGCACCAACGAGTTTCAACGGTGAAGGTCCGGAGGAGGACGTGAATGGGCCTCAGCAGACTGCATACAGAGATTCGGATGAAGAAACAGACGAGAGCGATGTAGATGTGGAAATTGACTGGGAAAATGTTAATTTTAACACTAAAGATGATGAACCATCAGGAGATCTAGAATTAACTCTTACCAGACCAGCACCTCAACGTCAAACGGCTACCCCCAGACGTAAAACTCTCACTCAAGGAGACAGAAATCTTCGATTAGAGATTCACAAATTGCATCTTTTATGTTTACTGTCACATGTTCATAGAAGAAATGAATGGTGTAACGATTCTGAAGTTCAGGATTCTCTTAGACCGCTTTTAAATAGGAAAATGTTGTCATTTTTGAGGCCGAGAAAGGATCTATCGCAATTCAGTCAAGCTGAATCGTTGAAAAAAGGTTTGGATATGGTGGCTGTTTTGTGGAGGACAAAGTTTCAGATTACAAAGAGGGGATTGAGGCGGGCACTGTGGGCGGATAATGAGGACGATATTAAAAATGTAAGATTTCTCGCTTTTTTTTTTCAAGAAAAAATCTGACACATTTACAGTACAAATTGCCTGAAGATGCAGATGCTTCATATGAGAGGGCAGATTTTAGGAACGCGGCGACGGAACTAAAAGGCTCTAGAGACTCAGGAGCACAACTATTCTGTGCATTATTACGAAGCGTAGATGTTGAAGCCCGCTTAGTTTGTTCTTTACAACCCCTATCCTTCACCACCGGCGGCCCATCCATGCCCAAACCACCCAAGCCGAAAGTGAGACCAACCATTCCACCTCCACCCGTACCCTCACCAGGACCCAGTAACTCAACCCTTCTCTCAAATCCACGCAGTCGTCTCGGACATCCCGGGGCCGCCGGCTACAATATTCCTACAATCAATCCCGCACCTTTAACGCCACCCACCCTAAAAGCAAAACCTATTCGCGAATCTCCCTTCCCCATATTCTGGGTCGAAGTCCTCGACTCTGCTCACCAGAAATGGATTCCCATCGACCCCCTAGTCACAGAAACAATCTCTAAACCCCGCTCCTTTGAGCCACCTCTCACAGATAAAGAAAATGCGCTCTCTTATGTCCTTGCCTTTTCCTCAGATTCATCCGCACGGGACGTAACACGTCGTTACGCCAAGGCTCCCAATTCCAAAACCCGCAAACAACGCATCGAATCCACGCCTGGAGGACAAAAATGGTGGAACAAAGTCCTCTCCCACTATTCCCGGGGTTGGAAAACAGATGTGGAACAAATCGAAGATGGCGAATTAGCAGCGTTAGAAGGAAGAGAACCTATGCCAAAGAACGTACAGGATTTCAAGGATCACCCTGTTTATGCACTTGAACGCCATTTACAAAGAAATGAAGTTATCGTTGCGGAAAGAGAAAGTGGAAAAGTCGCCACCGGGAATGCGAATGCGAGTGGAATCAAGAAATTAGAAAATGTATATCGCAGGAAAGACGTTCACATATGCAAAAGTGCAGATGCATGGTATCGACTTGGTCGCGAGGTCAAGATGGGCGAAGAACCCGTGAAAGTCGTGCCATCTCGAAACCCACGAAAAAACGATTTTGCAGACGAAGAAGAAAGAGAAGAAAGAGCAGGCACATCCCTGTACACGCAATTACAAACTGAACTCTTCATTCCACCCCCAATAGTGAATGGCCGAGTACCCAAAAACTCGTTCGGAAATATAGATATATATGTACCATCTATGGTTCCTAAAGGGGGCGTTCATATCTCAGCACCGGAATCGGTATATGCGGCAAAGTTGTTGGGTATAGATTTTGCAGCCGCGCTTACGGGATTTGAATTTAGAGGGAGACATGGAACGGCGGTTTTAAGGGGAATTGTGGTGGCGAAAGAGTATGGAGAGGCAGTAGAAGAGGTCGTAAAGGGATTTAGGGACGAGAGGGAGAGAGAGATAGAGGAGGAAAAGAGGGAAGTGGTGTTGAGGCTTTGGAGGAAGTGGTTACTGGGGTTGAGGATCAAGGAGACGGTGGATGGGTATTTTGATGATGAGGAAGGGGAGGACGATGCTGAGGTTGATGAAGAGGACGGGGCTCATGATGAGAAGGAGGAAGCGGAACCCGAGATGGATGACGGTGGGTTTGTGAGAGATGACGAGGAAGAGAATGGGGGTGGATTCGTGAAGGAGGATAAAAATGATGATGGGAATGAAGGGGGTGGTTTCGTAAGAGAAGATGAGATTATGGAGAGCGATGATAGCAGTGAGCTGAGCGATACGTATACATATGATGAATATGACGATGATATGGGTGGTGGATTTATTCCACAATAGAATCATATATAGAGCAAGTATGATAAATTGTACATTCATTACTTTTATCTAACCATCTTACAATTCCGGATCACAATCCATATGTTCTCCTAACGAATCCCACCTCGAGTGAAAGAAGTTCGTTGATCGTAGCAGTGGGTTCATAACCACAACTGCTGCAATGCAACGATTCCAAAGAAACTGGAGGCTAACTCAGACATTTCATAATAACCTTACTACGGTCGGCCTTGTGTCCCGAACCCCGGAATCCATCGCTATCACGCTACTCCTTAACCCCCATAACCCAAGTCATATATCCCGTGGGCCATGTGTGTCTCTCCCTCCCACTCAACACCTTCCACCCATTCGTATCACCGCCACTCTTCTTCATCAATGCCTCCACTTCACCTGCACTCCTGGTCCTTACAGAACTTATGATTCCATCAAACACTAGCACGAAAGGAATAATCGGTATAATATATGTGAAAAATAGATGACCGGGAGAGCGCCAGAAGTAGAAGGGAGTAATTCCGAGTATCATTATGCCCATCGCGAACATGGTAATTAGGGAGGAAATAGTGCGTTCTTGGAGCTCGAATATACTGCACCCATGTGTTAGAAATTTCGGCAATAACAATGGGAAAAAATAATATTGAGATGAAAGCAGGGGAAAACATACCCAAAACCATCCGCAGTCTCCACCGTGTTCTTCAATATATCGCCTCCCAATTCATCACCAAAATGATGAAAAGCCAAATTATACAATCGGAAAACTTTGGTCTCGCCATGTACACCATTTGTCTCGCCGTTGACGTTCTTCAATAGATCTCTCGGCGCATTTGCTGCATCGACAGGCTCAGATATAAAATTGAGATTCTCGCTGCGTTTTGACGCTTCTGTCCAATCGGGTATATGAGGATGTAAATCCGTCAAAACAAATTGTACTTTTCCATATCTATCATCGCCATTAACAGGGCGTGGTGAGCGCAGAGCGAGTCCGTCTATCTGATTTTTTGGCGTAGCTGCGACTTCGGCATATGAGACTTCATGGTTTGCGATTGATGAGGTCGAGGCATTGGTAGTAGAAGTAGAGGAGTGATTTAAATGTGCATTCATGTACACTTCGATATAAGGGGTGGGACCCCCGGCCCCGGCACAGAAATCGACATAAGTATAGGATGTGACGTCGTTGGAGAGCACTCGAGAGAGGGTTGTGGCGACTAGTTGGGCGGGGGAGGAGGGTTGGATGATGGGGACGCGGAAGGTCCAGCAGAGGGTTAGGCAAGATTGAACTTTTAGACGGAGGTATTGGGGAAACCTGTGAAGAGGCGTCGTTAGTTGTAGCAAGAGGTGGGATGACGATGAAGGATCAATGAAAGATGGGAGAAGTGTGGACCTTGGAGAGCTCGTCTTGAGCTGCAAGGGCCAACATACCAGGGTTGATCATTGATCTCAAATAAATGAAGTCGTGGACAAATGAGTACCATGTTTCCTTTGTTATTCCTCGTATCTTCAATTGGATCACAATATGTATCTCACGGTCAAAGATAAGTGCCGTCGATTGAATAATGTCGAGTTGTAAAAGGCGAATGATGAATGATGTCGTATCCCAAATATGAGACAGGAAGCTTATCTCTTATCCTCACAACGCTACTCGAGTAGCACTAGCCCAAAATCAGGTTCCTTCATTCCATTCTTATGCATATTGCATCACCACATTTTTCACGTTCATGATTCTTTGTCTGATGTCGTACGGAATTGAAGGAGGATGTTCATCTCGATAATTATATCAATTGTCATTGCGATTTGTTTGGGGAGTTCTTTGTATAAAGGTTCGGAGATTAGGAGGAATGGAAAGAAACTGAGGTACGTGAACGCGAACTTGGCACGAAATCACGAGGTTGCGCATCTTTTCAGTGATGATACTACATCACATTGGAATTTCGTACGAGTGTACATTCATTTGTCCCTTCGTGTTGACATCTGGCAAATCTCGCACAAATGTTTACATCAAAGGTCTTTCCCCGCTCACCTATCAAACTAATAAACTGTTCAGACGACCACCAAATACGTTACCATTAGTTGGAAATGGTATCCTCTTTCTCCAAGCTCGTCACAAGCTCTTTTCCTGGTTCGTCAAGTGCGAGCGCAAATTTGGATGGGAAACATTCGAAATTTCAGTTCCTTCATTGCCACCCGGTGTTGTGATAAATGATCCGAAAAATCTCGAGTACGTTTTGAAGAATGAAGACATTTTTGCAAAAGGGGACTTCTTCAAAAGCAGATCTTGGGATTTATTTGGCAATGGAATTATCAATGCTGATGGGGATCTATGGAAAGTTCAGCGAAAAGCTGGCTTGAATTTTCTCAATGCTTCAAATCTGAAAGTTCTTACCGATGTTGCACTTCCAAAATATCTAGAGGAGACGCTGGTACAGCTTAGGAATGCAGGAAATGGCAGGACCATCAATTTGGAGGCCGTATTTCATGAATTGACTACGAAGCTTATGGGTCGAATGGCATACGATGTAAGGATTGTAACCTTCATAGTTCAGATATTGGGCTCTCCACTGATAGTGTTAGATGGACATGCGTTCAGGTGACCCGTTCTCATTAGCTTTCGAATACGCATCCGGAGCTACCGGAGAAAGGTTCCAAAATCCCCTTTGGCCTGTCACCGAGATGGTATTTGGTGGTCGTTTTAGATCATCAATAGGAAAAGTCAAAGCCTTTGGTACTGAGATTGTATCGAATGCTGTTAAGGCCCGACAAGAGAAGTCTCGGGCGAACAACGAGCAAAACTCCTTGGATTCTATTTCCGGCAGTCTAATCAATTCTCTCTTGGATTCAATTGACGACCATCAAATGGTAGCAGATGCAGCCCTGAATTATCTTTCTGCTGGTACGTATCACATCGAATGGTCGTGTATCCATTCCTCAGCTGATGATGCCTAGGCCGTGATACTACTGCACAAGCTTTAACGTGGGCATTTTATCTTCTAATGCGTCACCCAAGAGTCTTGGACAGTGTACGTCAAGAAGCAGCCTCTTTTACTAACGGAAGTACCCGCAAACAGTCAACGACATACAAGCCCACAATTGTCCCGTATGCTATGGCTGTTTTCTATGAAGCACTGAGACTTTATCCACCGGTGCCATTCGAAATCAAGCAATGCGAGCAAGCGACTACACTACCCGATGGAACCTTTCTTCCTAAATACGCTGTACTAGTCTGGTGTCCATGGGCAATGAACAGGTCAAGGTCAATTTGGGGTGAGGATGCTGATAATTTTAGACCTGAGAGATGGCTAGAAGACGGCGTCATAATTTCGAAGACTGCTTTTGAGTATCCAGTATTCAATGGGGGACCGCGTACTTGTCTAGGAAAAAAAATGGCAGAAGCTGTGGCTGCTCAAGTAATTGCAACATTAGTTGTCAATTTTAACTTTTCGTTGATCGACCAGAAAGAGAGAATTAGTAGGAATAGTCTTACTTTGCCCATGGAGGGTGGGCTGCCTTGTAGAGTGAGTATCATTGCCTCTGCATGAAGCACAATCCCATTCGCAGAGCCTTGATTGTTTAATTGTGGAAACAATCCTTTCGTTATCTTATTGGCAACTTTCATTGCTCATTCAACCTCAAACATAAACCATGGATGTCCCAATCTGGGCTGAATGATATCATTCGGCGTTTGAGCTAATTTTACTTAATCACCGAGTTTGTGATATCTTGTGCAATATTTCGATATTCGAAGCTCTGCTCCTTCTCATTGATCAATGCCATGTGAACACGAATAAATATTCGAGAAAGACCTGAGTTCGCCGGAGAAGTTCAATCAAGGATGCTCTAAATTTGTTGTTCCTTCCCTTGTTCGGCAAATCAACCAATCAGATACGCACTTATCACCAAGTCGTCAGCGTCCTGTAAGCAGATGACAAAGACAAAAGAATGGAAGTCCGCGGCTGCTTTCAGATTTAACAAACTCTGGCCATTATATGCTCTCCATATTGACATAATTTAGACATGGGTTGCGGAATGTACCCCGCGATTCTGAAGACGGACGTGTATAAATGTTAAGACATGAGCCACATAATCGATCTCCATCTGCTTGATATAATCATGCATCGATACTCAAGCATGACTGCCGTACACCTCAAAACTATTAAGGCCGACGGCGTCGATATATTCTACAGAGAAGCTGGGCTCTCTGATGCTCCTACGCTCCTTCTCCTTCACGGCTTCCCTAGCTCGTCTCATCAATACCGCAATTTAATTCCTCTTCTATCTAAAAAATTCCACATCTTAGCTCCAGACATCCCTGGATTTGGGTTTACTACAGTTCCTGAAAGCCTCAACTACAAGTACACATTTGATTCTTTAACCAGTTCCATTGAGTCTTTCTTACGTGAACTAAAAGTTCAAAAATACTCAATCTACCTCTTCAACTATGGCGGTCCAATCGGATTACGTCTTGCACTTCGTCAACCAGACGCCATACAATCAATAATCTCCCAGAATGGCAACGCATATACCGAAGGACTCGGTGGTTTCTGGGCCCCTCTTGAACAGATGTGGGCAACCAAAACAGCTGAAGAACTCGCCTCATCCAGAGAATCCCTCAAAGGAGTTATTTCCCTTGATTTTACCAAATGGCAATACGTTACCGGAACCCCAGAAGCTAATCTTCACAAAATTGCACCAGAGTCTTATACCTTAGACTATGCTCTGATGTCCCGTCCGGGAAACACGGAAATCCAACTCGATCTTTTCTACGATTATCGTACGAATATTGACTTGTATCCGGAGTTTCAGAAATTCTTTAGAGCGTCAAATGTACCGATTCTAGCGGTTTGGGGAAAGAATGATGAGATTTTTGTTCCGGCTGGGGCAGAGGGGTTCAAGAAGGATAGTAAGAATGTGGTGGTGGAGTATTTGGATGCAGGACATTTCGCTTTGGAGACTAACGTTGAGGAGATTTCGGATGCAATTTTGAGGTTTAAGGAGAAGTTTGGAATTTGAGAGGGCGGAGAGACGAATCAGTTTGGGATGTTTTAGTCGGAATCTCAGGCGGAAATAAATGATCAAGTTAAAGGAATATTTGAAATCATTCGGAACAATCAGAACCTCTATTTATTAGACAATTTATTATGCTGGTTGAACTGGAAAACGATGAGAGACTCTACCTTGTCTTATTGTGAGTTTATGGTGAGTTAGTTGATAAGTAATCATCTGGTCACAATGTGCATTTCACATAATTAACAAATCTATGGGTATCACCCCTGCGGTGCATAATAGGACTAATGTATTGATTGATATTGTGTATATTGTTATTCTAGGTTCAGATCCACGAAGTAATCTGGTACATTTAAACAATTCGTATCTGAAAGAATGAGTATTCAGATCAAAATCAACAGCATACGTGCCCTCTCTAACATTGACGTGATCAATATTCGATATCGTTACAGACTATCAAATATTTCATCAACATCCATCAAATCTGTCATTAGAGGACGATTTCTTTGACTATACTTCAGAACCGGACCGAATCCCCCATGCCGCTTTCTTTTGACCTGAGACGGCTCTACTTCATATCTTTTAGAGAATTCCCGTTGTAATATTTCACAAGCTTCTCTTTTAGCCGCCTCAAAGCCGTCCGCAAAATGATTCATAGCTCCTCGTTCAAAGACAATGGTTGTATTTTGAAGATCCCGTATTTGCGCTAGCTGTGATGCATCTTGCTGAAAATAGTCCTCGAAGAGTGTCGTTCTAATCTTACGCTCATGATTCCTCAGTTGTTCTACACGATCGTCCATCGTCTCAAACCTCAAACTAGAAAGGTTCTTTTCAAGTTTATGTACTTCGTACCGAGAAATGATAAGGTGGACAAAACTGTAGATTCCCAAGACAACTAACGTAACGAGAGCGATGATTTGCATAGAATCTCGCCAGGGGTTGTCGATGTCGGTAATACAGCAGGTATTATCATCTTTACTTGTGAAGTTTTGTGGTGAGGAAATGGAGGATTTAGTGTAAGTAAAATATATGACGTGCCTAGCGCCATGATCAACACCTCGTAGATGGTGCCAAGGACTGTTATTACTCTAAATTCTGATCACTAGGAAATCTCAATCCAATCTGAAATAAAATTGTTGAATGAGTATATTTCTATTGGAAACTGTGACCAGGAGAAGGCAATAATGTAAATGTTGGTCATAAACTTGGGCAATGTGAATAGTATTCTCAGGTAACCCGTTTTTGAACTTCGCTCGTCGAAACTGTTCTATGGATTATCAGCGCAGAAATCTCATATCGATCTCTAGGCCAAAAGTTGTTCAAACCGCTCGACTCACTTCCTCTATACTATTAACTCTGATCTCTAGCTCACGTGAGCTTCTAACAGTAGTCTCCACTTTAGTGGTCTCATTGCTATCACCTTCTGTCTCGCTCCTCGTAGTGGCATTAATCTGACCTTCAGCATTCTCACCTCCTTTATCTCCTTCTTTTCTGGGTGATTTCCCAGCCTTCCTCTTCCTGATCCATCTCAACAACCACACAAATCCTATAACTGCCGCTAGCCCCCCTCCAAGTCCCAGTCCAAACCCTAGTCTATTTTGCACATCTTGGGAAAGCCCCTTTTTGGCTCTCCCACAAAATAAGATTGACATCGAAATACCCGACTTTCATATTCTGGTGAGTTGTAACCATTCTGCGCTGCGAATATTGTGGAAGTGTGATCAAAGACTGCACGGAGAGATGTGCAGTCGAAAGGGCGATATATTTTATACTCGAAGGGACTCGTTTAGGTATTGGAGGGCTGGGAGGGAGAGGCTATAATTTGGTTAGATTTTGGAATTGAAGAAGGCAGAGGGGAGGGGGGGCGAAATAGGTAGTTTATGAATCTGAAGGGAGAAAAGTAAAGAGCCACGTACGAGGAAACTTGACCTTGGACCAATATATCTGTAGCATTAACCAGCCTGGAAAAAGTTACATCCCCATTTACTGCCGCAGAGATTGAACTCACATTTGCCAGAACAGGCATGTGGAGACTGTTGAAATTGTCAATATTAGTTTTGAAGATTCAGAAAGCAAGTATCATTGAACAGAAAACATACGGTTCAACGAAACTGTTAACATAAATATCGGCGGCATTAGTGAGAGCGTCGAAGTTGATAGGCACAGACGATTTATAGATTGTTTGCACATCGATAGAGATGGGTTCGTGTGTATCTTTACCACCGATGAAGTTGGGCATCAATAGTCTGTAATTTTGTCAGAGAATTCTTTATTTACATACATATGAGAGAGATAAGAGAAGTTCAAGCATATATACTCTGATATGTTTCCCCATGCGGTGAGAGAGCCACAAGACTTCAAAGCTGGGAATGCAACGTTCAGAGCCGGCATCTATATTATGGCAAATTGACCTACAAGGACCGACTGGCGAATAGTAATCTGCGATACGTTTATCAAGGATCCAAAATCTATACTATGTTAGAAAATTCAAATTGGCACCTGAACTCTGCTCAAATAGCCCGCCAATACTTAAACTTCAAACATCCAACCAATACCAACCAAAATCACATACGTAGAAACATTCCCCTTCAACGTCACGACTCCCGCACTCTTTAGCCCGGGAAATCTCAAGATCCTCTTCTCAATCGAACTAATCGTTATATTCCCCATCATTTCTAAGGCTCCCATAGACACAAAATCCAGGTTCCAGGTTGTTTGGTTTAGATCCAGACTACCCAGAAATTGTAAATCATCAAGAAAAATAGAAGTCAAAGTAGGCGGACCAAGTTCTTTGTAGATACATATAGAGCCTGTGATATTGATAATATTGGGTAGGGAGAATGTGCCTGAGAAGATGGAAGAGATCTGAACGGATGTGGGAAAGGTATCGCAGCTGAAGAGATTGGTAATCTGAGCAGGTTCGCGGAAAATGGTGGTGCTATTTATAAAGGTACAGTCCCTAGCGTGGAATTAGGTGAGAAGAGTAGCTAGTGCTATCAATTTCATGAATGAGAAGTTCATTCTACTAGCTCGTAATCCAATTTCATCGTAAAGAGTAGTGGACATGGAAATGTCGGATTCACTATAAACTTCCTCAAAGTATCTCTAACTCCATCAGAATGATAGGAGGTGATTTTCCTTTTACACCAATATCCCTTGGCCGCCAAGTCCACACGTCACACACATACTACACTGATCAGAAAGCCTGACTCCCAGCCCTGAGGCACAGTACTCATTCCCGTTATCAAAATCTTAGAACCCTAGAGCCCACGAAACATAAAAACAGGCATCAACTTTTCCACCTGCATAACGAAAACAAAACTCCCTCCTCAGTCTTCCAAATTTTCTAAAGTTGTGATAATAGTGCAATAGCAAACCAAACAATTAGACTTTGCCTCTTCCTCCATTATCCAACGCCAACAATTTGCTCTCGCTTAACTGAAATTCCTGGTGTCATCGAAGATGAAACTATTCTAGGCCAAAGAAATTGTGGCTGTGCTACCTGAGCCGACTCTGTTGGTTTTTTGGTAATTTAGTATGAAACATATGGGATGGGCTTTATTTGGACGACGTAGTGAGGGCTAAGAAGAAGAGCGGCGTTTGAAATATGGTCCTTTCCATTAGCGGAGGAAATGGCTAGCGAAACTTTTTACAAGCTAAAATCCAGGTATGTATGGCTCTGAAGGGCTATCTGTAAATACAGACGCGTTCAAGTTAGTTGTTCTGTCACTCAATATCTTGGCTTCCCTATTGTCTCGTTTAAATATCGACTTTCATGGTAAGAAGATGGCGCAGCAACTCCGATGGTCATCCATGCGTGAATAAAAATATCCCTCATCTTTGTTGATTTCTCAGCTTAGTATCGGCCATTGTCACCATCCTAAATAATACAAAGGTAATCAATCCAAAGACATCGGACGTCAAGCTTCCTAGCCACCGATATCGCATAGCGGAGAACTAGTGGCATGTTGGAATTGCCGGATATGTTCTTTTTGTATTTTCCATCTTCTCATGGGTGGTTTTGAGGAGTTGTCCATCAGTGCCCCAGCATTAGCTCAAGCCAATAGACTTGATTTGAGGAGCATATTTTGACAAACTAAGTATCTTTGTATCGATTAATCTGATAGGAAAATCATTCAATCATTATTGTCTTTCACTCCGATACTCAGTAGCTGAGAGGGAATAAATGATGACGCAAACGGGTCAAAATCCCGGAACAATCTTAATCAAAAATGCATGTCTCGACCGAATCTTGGACAATTTCACTTTTCCTTTCCGTGAACCTGCTTTCTACTTCTAGTGAGCTTCTATTGATGCGTAGCCATTTTCGACATAGATCTATCACTGAAGTAAGCATAGATATACAATCCAGTGCCATTACCAACCTGAAGACGATACCGCATTAAAGAACTTGACTAGGTGATTTCCAAGAGAATGATGATCATGATAGAGAGTAAGTTTGAGCGTTTTAGTCTGCAGTACGAAGAATAGCTTGTGTCTCGATAGTCTTCGCACTATTCTACCCATAGATATTGCACCTGAAAGCTGGGCTGCTCTGTTGGTAACTACCAGGATCCAACGGACCGGAAGGTTTGTCGAACTCGGCTTTGATCTTGCAGCAAAATCTGCACTCATCTGATAGCTCTGGCAAAAATGGCGAGGTGACAGGACGGGTTTTGTTTTGCCTACCACCCTTAAAAGATTCATCGGAAGATATCCAGGTCCGAAAATGAAGTCCAGCTTTGCCATCCTTTGGGCACATAGAAAGAGTACTCCCAGGACATGCGTCATCTAAGTAGAGACTCTGCGCACAAGTCTAACACAATAAATCACTTTCTGTACTGGCAGTGATTTCGTCATTTCCAGAACATTCCTGTCGCCCCAAGTCCATAGCTAAATCAAGCTTGTTTCTCCAGCTAATTGACGATAAAGCACACTTCCGACATGAAAGTCTTGTGCCCGAAGACGAGGAGTGATGTAACACATGACTGTCAGTCAGCAGATAAAAATCCCAGTATCCGTAGCGCTCTTGAAGATACGCGCTGTCCTTCCATGTCGGAAATTTTTTCTTAGAGAATTGCTCAGTAGCAAACGGAATGTGTGGAATACTTTCGCGGAGATATCTTATTATTAACCTTGTGGACAGATATCCGACATCAAATCATCAAATAGAAGTACACATTGAGAGCACCTAGATTTTAATAATTTGTAATTGAATTAATTCCTAGTCAGAGACATGTGAAACTTTGATTCCGAGTGTTAGAGTTGATATTGGATATTGGCAAGAGAGTACAGTTTCGATGTCTCATATGGCAACTTAACTCATCTATCACATGAAAGTATCATGGTTTGATTGAGTTTGAATCCAGTATCCAATAGGATGAATAATATATTCTCTACGATAAGTTTGAATCTCTTTATCTTAGTTTCATCATCCATACAATCAAACAGCAGACTCTTATTCTATTGTATGATCCATTCTCTTACAAAAGGTCAGACAATACGAGTACATTTTACACCCCTCGAATCACAAGCTTGTAGATTGGGGGTTATGATTGTTTTACCTTCCATCGTACTTCCAACAAAGGGTAAATAACTATAAGCCCCAATCTCAACAAGAATTTCATTTACACAATTATGAAATACTCCCCTCGGACTAACTCCACTCCATCCATTTAAACCAACCTCCCATCGCTATCTCCCCCTTTTTCTCAGTTGCCTCCCTCCACGTCGTTCAGTATCAACACCTCCTGGTCGTCTTCCTTCTACTCTACTTGTCCTTCCTCTTTTTGTACCCACATTAATATCGCCGCCACCAACTTGTTCCGGATATCTTCTCTCTTGTTTGATTCTCGTTTCGCTTCCTCCATGTCGACGGATATATCCACTAACTTTTATATTCTCCTGTGATTCATCATCCTTAGATTGACTTCTTTCTGCTTGTCCTTCTCCGATGCTTAGTTTGCTTTCGGGTGAGCCGGTATCATCTCCTACTTCAGGTCTTCGAACACCCTCATCAGCCACATTCATTGAGTCTACTTCTTGCTCTCCTATTCTTTCATCCACTCTTTTCTCTGTCTTCCCATCACCAATTCCTGGCATCCTTTCTGGTGTCCTCGTATCCCTCTCTCCAACTCTCATCTCTCACCCGAACCCAAATATCCTTTATTCCCCCCTCTTTCCCTCTCCCTCTCTCTCCTCATTCTCATCGCAGCAGCCAATCTCAACCCTTGTTGCCTTTTTCTCTGTCTGTATGTTTTCTTTTCTCCCTCTTCTATCTCTACCACGACTATCTCCACGTCCATGCACTTTCTCTATTTCTGCTTTGAGTCGTCTCACTTGCTCTCTCAGTTCCCCCTTTTCCACTTCTGTTTTGAGTCGTTTCACTTCCTTTTTAAGTTCCTCCTCCAACTCTGCTTTGAGTAGTCTCACCTCTCTCTGTTTCTCTTTCTCTCTGTGTTTTTCTTCCTCTCTCTGTTTTTCTTCCTCTCTCTGTTTCTCTTCCTCTTCCAGTTTCTCTTCATCTCCTACTTCTGCTTTGTGTAGTCTCAATTTCTCTCTTTGTTCCTCTTCTTCTCCTCCTTGCCCAACTTCCGCTGTCAGATTCTTATCAACACCAATACCATCACCCTCACTCGTCTCTCTTCCCGTCTCTACGTTCAAGTCTTTCTCAGTCTCCTTCATCTTCTCCGGATCCACATCAACATCCACATCCATTCCCACATCCTCCACAATCTCACTTCCCTCATCTCCCAGATCCTCATGTTCCATACTCAATCTCTTCCCTTCCAAATTTCCCAAACCAGACGAATCCATATCTCTCTCCCCAGAACCTAAACTCAAACTCAGACCAGACCCCACCATCGGCGTAACCGGTGGGGTAACCACAATCTTCGGCACCCCGCTCTCCTGCCCCTCAAAATCCCGCAACGCCATCCCTAACTTAAAATCAAACCCCCTCTTCCCTTCACACTGGGCGAGAACGGCGGCGTAGAAAGCTGATTACTCACCGGACTCAATGGTGCACTCTGTGGTAAAGGTGGTGGAAAATTAAGTCCAAATGCTACTTGCAACGCTTTTCTATTCGGACTATCAACAGGCCACACACAAAAAACAACCTTCCGGAGCCTTTTTCTTCGTGCGGCGCCAAAAATAGGATGATGCAGAAAGTCCTTTACAGTGCCTACGGCAATACGAGCAGCGAGACGATAGGGGAAGGATTTGTGACCTGTGGAGATGGCGGGGAAGGCAATGGTTATACCTGCAGGTTTAGGAGAGGATTGCGGAATATGATGCTTCGAAGGGCCATGGGAAATCAAAGGGACGGATGTGGATGATATGGATGATGGGAGTAGTATTGGCGGAATCGATGAAATCGACGGGATAGATGTACTTGGCAGAATAGACGGAGACGAAATGGGCGAAACACCAAACGCATCTAAATCCACATGTTTTGGACTCGCCAGACTTGCTGGACCACTCACACTCCCTGCCATATTAACGGTGCCGAAACTTCCTATTCCTCTTTTCCTTGATATCTCCGGTGTTGTCTCCTGCTCTGCTGACATTTTCTCATCCGTGTTTGGCTCTGTATCCGCCATAATTGTATCTTCGCCTGTACTCGTGGAGAATATTGGATTCTCATCCATTTTTTTCACTTCAATATCTGAAGCAATTTCCTTCTCCTTCTCCCCCTCTTCCCTCCTCCTCTTGTTTTTCATCTCCTCCCTTTATCCTCTCTCTCTCCTCCTCCTCCTCCCTCTCTGCAATCCCCATAGCCTCCACCAGCGTCCCCCGATAACAATTAACCAACAACTGTTTCACCAACGGCGTACTATACGCTTTATCCGCAAAATTCGGCGCATGCGTATGAATAATGAATTTCGGTCTCTCATGTTTCCTCCTCTCTCATTCTCATTCTCGCTTTCCCATTTTTCTTCCCCTCGCCAATCTTTGCTTTAGCACCATTACCCAATCCAAAACTCCCACTCACTCCACACGCTCCTGCATTCAATCCTTCTTTCCAATTCTTTTCCCTCCATCTTGCCAGATCCTCCCTGGCGGTTTTATCGATTAGGCCTGGGAGACTTATTTGTGGTGTCACTGTGCCAATAGTCATACCCATCCTGGAAGGCGAGTCCACGAGCCCGGAATCCACGAGTCCAGAATCCGCAACCCCAGTCATCGAACCCTTCGCGCGCATAAGCGGATATGCAGCCGGAGATTGAGAAATCGGATTTACGATCGCGGTGCAGGGATAAGAGAGGAGGGAGACGAGACGCAGTTCGAGTGGGACGAGGGGGTCGGAGGAGGAGGAGAGGAGGAGGCCTTGGGAGAGGGGGAGGGGAGTTGAGGTTGAAGTTGTGGTTGTGGGTTTGGAGGGGGGAGGGGGAGGGAGAGGAAAAAGGGGATTTTATGAGGAAGGGGTTGGGGGTTCGTGAGGACATTTTTGTTTGTTGAGAGGGTTGGGGTGTATGGGTGTGGGGTAGTGGGTAAAGGGTATGATAGGATAGGATAGGATAAAATAGAAAGTGTACAATATATAACGAAGAACGATATGATATACTAATCAACTCCAAAGCTCAATCCGCATATCTCATCTCTTAAAAAAGTAAACTTCGAGAAATAACAGAATTCTCCCTGCTACTCTCTTCAATAACTTGTTTTAATCAAAGCACCACATACACCCAGAGATCAGTAGTATACGTATACAGCCCACGACCACTCTTTCACAACCCTCCTTCCAAACCCCCATCCCCATCCCCATCCTCATCCTCATCTCCCTCCTTTCTTTCATTCTTTCATTCTTTGTACCCCAAACCCCTACAGCTAGCAAAACCAACACTAGTGGCACATAGACAAAGACGCATTTCTGACACGCGGGGAGATGATGGGTGGAACCGGAAGGAATTGACAAAGATTTTCTCTTGGCGCTTCTTTTTGTCGTGATGGTATGGTATGTAACTGGAGGATGAATGTGAGGAATTGGTGAGAAGAATGATGGTGATGATGACCTCGAGGGAAAGGTATTTTTTGCAGGACATCGAAAATGTGAAGAGAGGTCTGAAATCAAAACCAATGATTTTGAATTTGGATTGAACGGGCCGGAGTTGTAGATTTAAATTATTAGATCTATAAGTGACTGTTAAGTCAATTTTGGTTCTCGAAATAACATGAATATTATTGATATTTTGTTCATCGAGAAAGATCAATCACCAATTTGGCGGAGCCGCACGCCCCTATAATCACAATCGCATCAGTAACCAATACTATTCAATATGATACAAGATTAATTATATGTTTGAGAATCGATATATATTGAAAAAAAAGTATACCAGAATCGAATGCTGTGGTATCATAACTCCAATCCCCTGACACCAATCCTCTGATGAATAATCCGTACAATCCAAGTGCTGATGTCCTGATTCCCATCTTATGCACAGTGTCCATTTATTCCATTATACCCAACCCAATTAATGTTTGATATTTATTTTTGCTCCGTCGAATGATATCGATCGATTACTGAAACTTTTTCCCCTGATCGTTCTGCGACGCGATGGTAAATTGTCGCAAAGTGGTCGGAATGCGATTGAGTGGCTTCTCCTATTACCCACACCCACATCTATCAATCGCGCTGGATTTATCGTTCCGCTGTACTCAACACCAAACCGTCTAATGCACCCTCTAACCATTTTCCCAATTCCTCTGCTTGTCTTCTCATACCGCTAATACCCACTCCACCTCCTCTCGCACTCCTCAAACTCGCCGTCTCGCTCCCTTCTCCACTCCTGATAACTTCCCTCTCGTGCCCTCCATCTGGTGATGCTGGTTGCGATATCGAAACCAACCCCCCTTCTCTTTGAATCTGCGGTGTGGTGGTTCCTGATGCACCGGGTGTTGGTCCGATCGCGACGAATAATAATCCACAAGCTAATAGTCGTATCACCATGATGCCCAATTCCATTTGTATCAATATACTTTTTGTTTCTCGCGATTTGGGAGTGCGACCATTGGATGCTTCGCCATTGGGAGGAAGCGCGTCCGATACGGTTTGCGCCGGGAAAGGTGAGTAGAGTGTCCAGAGTGAGAGGGCGAGAGTACCTTGATGACGCAGTACTGAGGCTGGAGAACTGGAAGAGGTACTCAGAAGCTTGCCGGTGGGTGTCAGCAGCATTAGTGTATGCAGATGTGGTGATATGTTGTTCTGTAGGAAGGTGGATATTCTTTTGCTCAGGAGCATGGTTTGACTTTGTGGTGGATGGGACGTCATGGTTATTGTTTGATCTGGTCTGGTTATATTTTGTTCTATTGAATGAGATATTGTTAGTAGAGATTTCTCGTATGAGATTGATTGTCTTTGTCTTCCAAGGTTTGTAGAGATGGAAAAAATCAATTGGATTAATTCAGGACAATACATACAATATTATGAATCAGCTGTAGTGAAAGTAATCGAGTGAGCAACAATAGGATAATAATAATAAAAAGAAGTGAATTGCAATTCTGAGCTGATAAGAGGTTGTTCAGTGGCTCGGCATGGGCGGGGAAGGTCTGAGTAGTATAGCTGTAGATGATCTCGGTAAAGTCTAGGCCATGAAGATTCATAGTTACAACTTCGAATTTATATTTATGGCAGCAAGAGGGTGGTAGGATCTTACAATTTTGTAACTCATCATGACTCAATACAATACTCATTGTTTCCACAGAAGGGTTGGAGTTTGTGAATATGAAACTTGTATGTATGAATAGACTCATATAAAATGTCAATACCAAGCAAGTACCTACGTATAGTACCATGAATTCTATAGACAAACATTTAAATTCATACTTTTGAAACCACATCTCACGCCCATCTATTTGAAATGATCTAATCTGTATATTATATCAAACAGTAGAGAATACCTATGTATGGATACGTTTGAAGAAGCTACTCTGCCTCCACGGCAGTAGCCCCCAGAGGGCCAGCGGAGCGTCATTTCCATTCATTAATCGGTTTAATTATGGGGGCAAGCCCCCAAACCCCCATAGCTCGCTGCGCTCGAGTATATATGTCATGAAGATTGACTTGATGATTGGTTTTGATTTCCAGAGTTTGTATGTAAGGTTTGAATATACTTATTACTACGTTATGCACTTACTATTGTGAAGTATACATACCAGGCAATCTACTAGAGAGTACTAAAATGTGTCGGTCACATTTAGCACCCACAAATCGATAATTGATGATTTCTGTGTCTACTATAAATACCCAAGTACTCTTCTCTACTCAAGTACTAGGTATTCAATTATTCTACTGAGATCTTTATTGTATCAAATTAACAAAATAGAATATTACTTTATTATTTAATATCATTTAGTTAATCTTTAATAACCCTCCCTTCTTTGCAAGATCCATAGATAGTTCACAAATTCTCGACAGTATCAATTTCGACGGGAATTATTACAAGCACAGACAGACAGGCAGCATCGACATCGGCAAACATGACGATTCTTGAAAATTGGATGGAAAGGTATACGCCCGAGACCCCTTCATTACATTATCTCTTATTTTCATTGGCATTTTATACCTTATGGATGTTTGGTTTTAAATATATCATGGTGGTGGTAGTTGAAGAGCTTAGCGATCTCATTGATTTTTTCGAAGAAGAGCTCTTTCATTAACCTAAGCTTGAAAGGGGGGATAACTTTCATGTGAGCTCGAGGCTTGGGTGATGGTAAGGTCCAGAATATCTTTGCGTACCTAGGTGTGAGTAAGCGTATGAGAAGGTCATCTACCTAGATATACATACGAACTTGAGTGTGTATAATCTTTTGATAGGATTATTTGAACTCGTGCAAAAGAGAATCCGGTTCGCTTTGATACCTATCCAAAGCAGTCGGTACCGAAATACTCTCTAAATGCTGCAGCTCGGATATATGCTCAATCCATAGCTTTCCATCGGACAAGATATCATTTGCTTAGAAATATTATATTGGACCTTTCACAATCCCCCCCACGTCATAATTCCCTAGACTAGCCGAAGAGAGGGGCGTGGGAACATCATTATTGTCGAAGTATTTTTGTACCCCTCTTCAATATAAATTGTCTCTATCCATTCATAACAACGTCAACTATTCTCGCATTTCATTCCATGTACTCCTTTCGCAATTTAAACAGACTCATTAAACCAAGTTATTTACGACAAAGAATTGTAGATTCAGGTACGTTCTCCATAGCGCTATCGAGGATACATCAATCAGCTCAATCACTCCTCTCAATTCCACCTTGTACAGTTTGCTAATACTCAAGTACTTTTACAGCAAGTAGATCATACGCAACAATGGCTACCAATACCAACACTTATAAATTTAATCACTCGATGTACGAATTCAAAATAAACATTAACATCTTTTACAATTGGATGATGCTAATCCGCCAAAAGGATTCGAGTGAAAGATCCTAAGGAATCTGGTAAGTTTGTACCTCAAATATATGCACTCAAATAGTTACAATACCTAACTATCTATCCAGTCAAATTCTACGAACACTTGGGCATGAAAATGATTCGCAAGATTGAACAACCCGAAGCTAAATTCGACCTTTACTTCATGGGTTACGATTCCCCCAAAGCTCTCTCACACGGAAACGATTTCAGCGATCGCGAAGGATTAATCGAATTGACACACAACTATGGAACTGAGAATGACGCCGATTATAAAGTCTCCAACGGAAACACTGAACCCCACAAAGGTTTTGGGCATACCTGCATATCTGTCGACAATCTTCAAGCAGCTTGTCAACGAATTGAAGATGCCGGATATAAATTTCAAAAGAAATTATCCGATGGACGTATGAAGCATATTGCGTTTGCGTTGGATCCAGATAATTATTGGGTTGAGATCATTGGGCAAAATCCTATTGAACAGACTGAGAACATCACAACTACTGATACCGAGACATATCGAATGGTAATCTTTGCTTTCCTCTACAAAATGACATCTGTGTAACTAATAGAATTGTAGAACCACACTATGATTCGTGTCAAGGATAAAGAAAAGTCATTGAAGTTCTATCAAGAAATTATGGGAATGTCACTCATGCGAACAGCTGAAAACCCAGGTGCCAACTTCGATCTTTACTTCCTTGGGTATCCTGGAGAGAAGGGTCTTCCTACATCATCAACTACATCTAATCGCGAAGGTTTGTTGGAATTGACCTGGAACTACGGTACAGAGAAAGAAGAAAACTTCAAATATCATAACGGTAATGATGAGCCACAAGGCTTTGGTCACATCTGTAAGTTATCTAATGATTTCTTCTCCGCATATGGGCTAGACTAATTTCATGATAGGCGTGTCGGTTGATAATTTAGATGCAGCATGCGAGAGATTTGAGAAAATGGGAGTTAACTGGAAGAAGAGATTGACTGATGGTCGTATGAAACACGTGGCATTTGTTCTTGATCCTGATAATTATTGGATTGAGGTTATTCAAAATGAGAAATTGAAGGAGAGAGCTAATTGGTAAGAGTTTGAGTGGGATAGTCGAGTAGATTACAGGATTGGGGGTATATCAATACTTTTACATCTAGTATATCATAGCAAATTGAAGCTATTTTATATTATCAACCACAGAAGACGAATCAGTACAGATTCTATCATTTCATGTGACTTCTGCAACTTCTGTGACATCTTCTTTTTACCAATTATGATTAGATTTCACACGAATCAGGTTCCTTAGATGGCCGGGTTCTCATCGACATTCCGCATAACGTACATTAGCGTAATGCGGGGTTCAATTGCGGGGTGGGGGGTTCCGTGTCATCTCATCTCATCAGATCTCAGAAAGTTTCATGAACGAATTGGAGTTGATCTTCGTTCTTGGTGGTAGGTACTATACAAAAGACCAACCTTTCCTGTTCTTGTTTTTGGTATTATTTATTCACTTCTTCCTTGCTTCTTCCTTGCTTCTTCTCTGCTTCTTCTGACTTCTTGACTTTTCAATTCTCTTTTATACTGACCTTTACAAACAAAGAAAGAGCACTAAGTGCAAGGTACATAGTATCTACGATTACTCAACAAACCTACTGTGGAATATCCCAAATACTACTTGGTCACTATACATACAATCTTCGAGAATCTTTAAAATTGTTCTTTAATCAAACTCGAAAAGAGACCACAAAAACTTCACAATGGCACCATCAACATTACCAAATCTCGACAATACCTCTTCCGAATCCTCAAATCGTCCCAAGATTCTCATTCCAGAAAAGGTATCAGTCGATGGTCTTACTCTCTTAGGTAATAGATTCGAAATCCATCAACCTAAAAACCTGTCACCTGCCGATCTTCTAGAAATAATTCCTCACTACTCTGCTCTCATCATTCGATCAGAAACAAAAGTTACAGCTGAGATTCTCGCTGCTGCGAAAAATCTCAAGGTGGTAGCGAGAGCAGGAGTAGGTGTGGATAATATTGATGTAGAAGCTGCGACGAAACATGGAATCATCGTGGTTAATTCTCCGAGTGGAAATATTGCGGCGGCGGCAGAACATACGATTGCGCTTTTGATGGCGGTGGCGAGGAATGTGCCGGCTGGGGATAGGTCGTTGAGGAATGGAGGGTGGGAGAGAGGAAAACTTGTAGGCACGGAAGTTGGAGGGAAGATTTTGGGGGTTGTGGGGCTGGGGAAGGTGGGATTGAAAGTTGCGAGGATGGCGGTGGGGTTGGGGATGAAGGTTTGGGCGATGGATCCGTATGCTAGTCCGCAGATTGCGGAGGCAAATGATGTGCTTCTTGTGAAGGAGCTGGGAGAGTTGTTGCCGGTGGTAGATTTTTTGACGATTCATACCCCGCTTATTGCTAGTACGTTGGATCTAATCGGGAAAGAGAAATTGGCAAAGATGAAGAAAACTGCAAAGGTACTCAATGTAGCAAGAGGAGGAGTCTATAACGAACAAGCTCTCCTCGATGCTCTCGACGCCGGTATCATCGCAGGAGCAGGTCTCGACGTCTTCACATCCGAACCTCCAACCCTTTCCTCCCCCGCTCAAAAACTCACTCAACATCCTAAAGTCGTCGCAACTCCTCATCTCGGCGCTTCGACAATCGAAGCTCAAGAATCGGTTTCGGTGGATGTGTGCACACAAGTTCGTGCTATTCTCTCTGGAGGTCTCCCTACTTCTGCTGTCAACGCACCTCTGATTCTCCCTGAAGAATACAAAAAACTCCAACCGTTTGTCAAATTGATGGAGAAGATGGGAGGCTTGTACACGCAACATTATCGTGGAAAGGGCGTGGGAGGCAAAAAATTCGAGGTGATTTATGAGGGGGAACTTGCGGGGATAGCTAATACGCGTCCGCTTTTTGCCGCGTTGGTAAAGGGATTGGTGGGGAGTATTAGTGAACGCGGAGGAAGAGATGTGAATATTGTGAATGCGAGTTTGTTGGCGAAGGAGAGGGGGATTGTGATTAGTGAGACGCATGTTAGTGAGAGTAAGTATCTGGTTTATGCGAGTTTGGTGACGTTGAAGGTTGAGGGTGGGGGTGCGGGAAATGGAAATGGGAATGGAAATGGTCATCAGATTATAAGTGGTTATGTAAGTGATCGCGGAATTTTCATTAGTAGACTTGATCGCTTCAATACGAGTTTTGCACCCGAGGGAACATTGTGTTTGTTGAGGAATAATGATGAGCCCGGGAAGATTGGAGTGGTAGGGGGGATTCTGGGTAGAGCGGGGATTAATGTGAGGTTTATGAGTGTAGCGGCTTTGGATAAGAAGGGAGGGAAGAGTGGAAATGGGGATGAGAGAATGCAGGGTGAGGAGATTAAAATGAGGCGTTGATGATATTGGGGATTGATGGGGTGGTGGGTAGGGAGGTGGAGGAGGAGTTGAGGGGGGAAGAGGGGATTTTTGATGTTGGGATTGTTTGTTTGTGAGCGTGAGCGTGAGCGTGAGGGGCAGGGGGAGAGAGGAAGTTGGAGGAAGTAAGGGGTGAGGGTTGATATTGGGGAGTGGGTTGTAAAGCTCAAGTTCCAGGAAGAACTCGGCATCTGAAAATATGATGATGACACGAAATGGATAACTCGGTGGAAATAAAATACGGAGCCCTTTTTTTTTCAACAGCATCATAGCATTTTATTATCATAGCGGACTGAGATTAGGATATCAAGAACCAGGGAATCGAAATCTTCTCCCTTCGTATTTCTGTGAGAATTTGCAGATGAGGGGATGAAGGATCTCGGGATAATGATAAGATACCTAATGAAGAGCTTATTCATGATACATGGCTTTTGAATTCATGGGTGTATGATGTGGGATGAAAAGGTATTGTGTGGATTAAGATGAGTAGGTGTAAATTATAGAGGGATGGAGATGTGTTGTTCTTCTTTCCCATTCCATTTCGCATTTTTGTTTCTGTTTTTTCCATAAGATGATCATATGTCGTAAATCTATACTGATATAGGTATTTCAATTATCTCATTTAGACATAGACATACATATAGACACACACACACACACATACATATACGTACAATCTCCCCTAACCATCCCTCCACCATAACTCAATACGAAGTTACATATCTCAATCTCAACCGTACAAACACAACACAACCCAATACAAACCTGGAAACATATAGTAAATCCAGTAAAGCTATCTACTTCATCTCCATCCCCTAAAAATATATGTTTTAAATGTACCAACTCCTCTACCCTCAACTATTCACTCATCGATTCACTTCCATCCAACTCATTACCCTCGAATCATTCCTCTTCTTCTTCCTTCCCCCTCTTTTCAAATAGTTCCAGAAACTTCCGGGTAATTATATAAACTTCTCCTCTCCTCTCCTCTCCATTCAGATTTTCTTTTCTTGTAAAAATATGTTGATCAAAATATGGCAGGATTCTAAGAAAATGCGTAGTTCTCTATCTGGTGCTGGTGTTTGAGAATCGATTGGAGGTTGGTATGAAATGGGGTGGAGTGGTAGAGGTTTTTTGTTTTTGTATTAGGGGGGAATGGGGGAAGAGGAGAGTGGGAGAATGGAAGGAGGGACGATTTTTCTTGGTTGTTGTTGTTGTTGTTGCTGTTGTTGCTGTTGTTTTTAGAAAGGATTTGTTCTTATCTAGAGGATGGCGTGAGTATAAAGAAGCGATCTGAGATGGTAAAGGGGGAGGGGCTAGGCACTAGGGGCTAGGCACTAGGGGCTCGGAGAGTGTGTTGCTGTTGCTGTCGCGGATTTGTTCTCTTGCTATTGTTTTCATTTTTATTGTTACAAATTACATTTATACTCTCCATTCTACACTTCCAGAATCGAGATGATGAAGCTGAGAAGTTTTCCTGGATGGATGGGAAATGAGAGAGATATTATATTGGAAAGTTAATTTGATGTTTGAAATTGGATACTTTGTTGACACATTCCCACCACCCAATCATCGTTTCGAAACAATCTTGATATTCTTTGATGGAGAAATTGTATGGAGAAATTGTAGAGAGAGAAGACGGTGTTTATATAAGTTTTTGATGAGAGATTTGGGTGTGGGGAATGAGAGGGGAAGCAGTTATGGGTATCAGTCTATAACTCCGCAGATGTAACTCATCTACATTGTGAAAGTTTCTTGTTCAATTTCCTTGAGTGGTAGGTAGTTCTCGATGTTTTTATGGTATTGATTGTGAATGATGGATTCACTCATTTCAAACTTAGAAAAGCTTTAGAGAAAGAGGTTAGTGGATTAGGGAGGAAGGACTGGTCCATATAAGAAACGTCCAGAAGTTCATTTCATTCCCCCAGCAGCAAACAAACAGAAGCTGATAAAGTTGTCATGGATTGTCCTGGCAATCCAAGTGTCCCAACTCGTGGGTACGATGGTTCTGATAATATTCTATAAGAAGTATCAGTTCGACAGATAATGCATGAATATTCCTCGTTGGTCTTATAATATTCAAAATTTGATTATCGAACGAGAAGTTTTGTTGTTATTATTTTCATATTATGCTATATTGAAGTAGGTACTTATCGTCAATTTCGTCAGGATGGTGGTTTTGCGATGTTACTTTTGGAGAGATATCGGGTTAAGAGATACATCTACACCCGTAGCTCTCTGAGTGAAAGTCCAGGAGGAGTTTTACTGGAGTATTGCTACCTCTCATCAGAAGATTTATCGAAAGGACTTGTAATGTTGGAAGGGAGAAGAAAGGTTGGAAATGTCACGGTTTTTATAGTTCGCTACGGATTTTGGGGGCTTGGACTATCTTTGAATCTCACTGGGTAACTTAACCGATACTTTTAAATGACTTGGAGTATCTTGATACTTGATTATCTGTCGGTGTTTGCGCGAATATTGAAATAAAGATGAAAGTCTAGATGTAGAGTCGATGGTCTGGTGCTGTGAGCTGCTACTTTGAATTTGATGTAATTGGAGTTTCCATGCAATGAATCTTGTGATTAGCTTGAATTTCATGTTAGAAGATGTTTTTCTGGCTGCGAAATGCGCGGTGAGATCATGGCTTCCTTTTTCATGAGATTTCTGGAGGCGATTCAAGAGTCTGAGGTTGAGTTACATGATTCTGAACTTCATGTCGAGAGTTGAGTCTGATGTCTCAAGGGTCCACTAATGAAGGCCAGACCAACTTTATCTCACAGTAAATTTTTTATTCCTATATCTCCAATTTTTTTGTGTATTATGATCGCCGAAGCCGTAGATCCCTGCCCAAGCAGCCGTGACATCATCCCAGAAAGTTTAAGCGTGACGCAAACTTGGAAGCCACTAAAACGATCACAAATTTTGGTATATAAGATTCTTCTCTTTATAGATCTTGACTTGGTATTCTAAAGTGAAACAAACCTGGAATGATTCCATATGTTGAAGATATTGCATTGCTTATTAAACCTTGGACCACTCAAGTTAACCTGATAAATCATTTGGAATACTGGTATGATCTCTGCACTTTTCAAATGACTATACTCCAAATTATGCAAATACAAGATAGCGCTATTCTTCCTCTTCTTTGTTGTCAAAGTTTTGAGCTCTTCATCGTTTTCTTGTTATTGTTACTGTTACTGTTTGAGCTCGCATTGTTACGACTTTCACCATTTTTGTCCTTCTCTACCCTCTTCCACCCATGTGATTTCAGTTTCCATGACATTTTCAGACAGAAGTTGCTAAATCTCTGCAGGTTGTCCCAAGAATTCGAGACCTTATACATTTAGAAATAGTCATGTATATTTAATAACATGGAGAGCATATATATTGACGGTGTCGTGTTTATATACCCCAGCATCGTTGGATTCGAAGTTTAGAGCATGAATGGTGAAGATAGATTCAGTCACACTCAGATGATCCATTCACTTATTTACTTTACAATTTTGATCTCAGTAAATGTATGAATTTCTTGGACGGTTCATTGGTTCACTCGTTTCAATGGAAATAATTCACAATACCCCGCAGTAATCAATACTTCGACCGTGAGTTTTCATGACTCCGTAATATCTCTCGGCCATAATCAGGAAAAAGGAATTGTTATCACCTGAGAATCGATAGGCGGAGAGAAGTCATATTGATTATTATTGGTAGCTTATCAATAATATGAGGTCACACTAAAGCACTAAACATCCCAGCGTTATCTACATTGTAGTCGTGATGTTGGTGAATGGGAAGTAAAAATTGATCAATGGACGTTGATGTGTCTTAGCCCACTACGATGGTAAGGTGTATGATGAGGCGCCTATGTCGCAGGACTCAACCATGATGAATGAATATAAAAGAGGCTTAGTCTTTCGAGGGGTTCATAATCGAGGGGTTCGCAAGCAATTCTTCGGCTTTCAGAGCTCCACCTCAGCACCTATCATAAATCATGGCTTGAACTTCGAGGGCCCAGGTGAGACGATGCAAGATCTAAATGGTGATCATAACAGCATGAGATATAAGATAATATTGAGTGGGGAGAAGTCGGATGGGGATGGTTGGTTAAGAATCTGGGAACTCTAGGGGAGAAGGGTATGACGAAGCTCGAAGAACTAGGTTTATTCCTTCTCCTATAGACTATTTAGTCTATAAAGAGAGCTAGACCTCAACAGCATAAAGACCCTTTGAACTCGATGTGAATGAATAACGGACTGAAGTTTAGTGAGTTTGCTTACCATAAACTAATCTAAGTGCATTACTATATCACCAGAGCCAGGACCAGACTACAGCACTCGTAGACAATGCATGAACTTTACTGATTAATGAATAGATTATAAAAACTCTTTAAATAAGCTGACAACGAAACTTATGAAAGAAGATGAAAAGATGGCAGAGAGATCTTGAAATATACAAGCTTCATTTGGTACTGCTAAGTCTGGTGTTCGTGTTTGCGCAATAGGTGTTCTCCGACCTGATTTGATCGTCAATCGAATCATGTTCATCATCGGATATTTGAGAGTCCTAATAATGTGTTACACAGATATTGTTTCCGTTAGTGAATTTGATCAATCTCAGATTTTTTAAACTCATCATACCCGCGTTACCATCTATTGAGATACTAAAGAACGAGTAGGCCGAGGAAGCCTAGAGAGGCGGTAGAACCCCAATTCTCTCTATAACAGGAGCTCGATCTTTCAAAATAGAAATCGATAAAAAGAAAGAATTGACTATCAAAGTGTCAAAAGTAGATAGTAAAGGATAATTCAGCGATATTTCAAGGGGGAATGAACAGAATTCATGTAGGTATCAAAACTCCGCTGTACACGTATTCGAGCAATTCAAGAACTTGATTTCGGTGCTGGAATTTGGTGTCTTATCTTCTGGAGACAATGCCATATCATTTGTCATCGCACCTAACACTCTCGGATCGTGTTTGATCA